GTTTTGTTTACAAACCGTTCTCCCCCCGGCGGAGATGCTCGGCAATCACTGGGTGTCGGCGAGTAATCACCAGCCGGGACCCGGTGATTGACGGCCGCGAATGGCGGTGCAGGTAGGGCATGCGCGCCCCCTATCCAGAAATGCACAATCACGTATATATATACATTATTTCGCGCACCCATGCTGCCCTGTAGCAGTACTTCTGCTACAGGGCAGACGGGTAGCGGTTAGTCTCTGCACAATCTTACACCTCACCCTGTGTGTGCTAAAGGGGTACTATTCAAGATTCAATATCACTTATATGGGCAGCTTCTTTCCTTCATGTTCACTCCCTATAAAAGAGCTGCTACCTTTGCCGCAAGCGAGATTTGCGTCCGTATGTGCACCAACTAGGGCCCCATCCAGCACGCAAAAGATCATACACTGCCGTTTATGGGGACCTTGTCTTAATTAATTGAAGAGCTCTTCTTTCCTCAGAATTAAATTCAGCCATCAGTCCCTGAGAGCCCAGAGTGAGTGAGCCTTTGTACTTGTTAGTTATTTTGTAGCCCACTGGGGAAGAAACATCTCAGGACTGGGCCATCGCCTAAATTCTGCAGGACATCTAGAACTGATTGCGATTGTGCTGTGACCCTTGAAGTTACTCCAAGTGATAATTGTTATTTCATGCACATACTTTTCTGTTGTTTTTATGTGCCTACATATGACCTCAATACAAACCAAGATATCAGTTCACTCCACACTGTCTGTGAGTCTATTTTATGGTTCCAGCCAGAGGGTTCCTCTGACCAGAGGTCTAAGGCGGTGTCAGCAGGGGTTGGGCTTCTAGAGTGGGGTCAAGAGACAGGGAACCCAAAAATTACTCAGTGGCCCCTGAGGGGGTTGTGCTACAATTAGTTAAAACCTTCTGGCTAATAAAAATGCTGCTAGCTCCAATTTTTTTATGTTGTATCAGGGGTGTCAACATTTTTTAAAAAACGACTTGTCCAGGGACTAAATCGGGGCCCATATCGGGTGGAGACCAGACCAGTCCCCCTGCACAAGGAGAGAGAGCAGCAGTGAGCCGTCTTTATTCCAGGAAGTCTCACGCTGGATGACTGCACAGATCTGGAAGAAATACACAAAGCACACGAAGATTCCAGAAGAAGACATGTGACCAATGTATTTAGAGGATATCTGCTTAGAGTTCTGTTTTAAAATTCTATATTTGAATGGAAAGATATTTATACTGATACTTGTGTGAAGAGATTTCACTTGCAAATATAAAAACCCGAAACTGCAGATGTACGATCTAAAGAACGAGCAAATCAATGCTTGATCAAACGGAGACCTCTTGTGGCTGCACTGTAGTATGACTCCACACAACACATACAGCTAATAAAAGGGAAACTAGGATAGTTTGAGGCTTCTCCGCCAACCACCAATCTATGGGGGCTTCTCCGCCGACCACCAATCTATGGGGGCTTCTCCGCCGACCACCAATCTATGGGGGCTTCTCCGCCGACCACCAATCTATGGGGGCTTCTCCGCCAACCACCAATCTATGGGGGCTTCTCCGCCGACCACCAATCTATGGGGGCTTCTCCGCCGACCACCAATCTATGGGGGCTTCTCCGCCGACCACCAATCTATGGGAGCTTCTCCGCCGACCACCAATCTACGGGGGCTTCTCCGCCGACCACCAATCTATGGGGGCTTCTCCGCCAACCACCAATCTATGGGGGCTTCTCCGCCGACCACCAATCTATGGGGGCTTCTCCGCCGACCACCAATCTATGGGGGCTTCTCCGCCGACCACCAATCTATGGGAGCTTCTCCGCCGACCACCAATCTATGGGGGCTTCTCCGCCGACCACCAATCTATGGGGGCTTCTCCGCCGACCACCAATCTATGGGGGTTTCTCCGCCGACCACCAATCTATGGGGGTTTCTCCGCCGACCACCAATCTATGGGGGTTTCTCCGCCGACCACCAATCTACGGGGGCTTCTCCGCCGACCACCAATCTACGGGGGCTTCTCCGCCGACCACCAATCTACGGGGGCTTCTCCGCCGACCACTAACCCAAAAGGAGCTTCTCCACCAACCAGCAATCTAAGAAAGCTTCTCCACTGACCACCAATCTAAGGAAGCTTCTCCACTGACCACCAATCTAAGGAAGCTTCTCCACTGACCACCAATCTAAGGAAGCTTCTCCACTGACCACAAATGTAAGGAGCTCTCTCCACCAACCAGCAATCTAAAGGGGCTTCTCCACTGACCACCAATCTAAAGGGGCTTCTCCACTGACCACCAATCTAAAGGGGCTTCTCCACTGACCACCAATCTAAAGGGGCTTCTCCACTGACCACCAATCTAAGGAGGCTTCTCCACTGACCTTTGTAATCAGGTTCTTTTTTTTATTACGTCTATACAGTCTTTGTTTTCCAAAGCCCTGTGGACTAGTTAAAGAGACATCAGAAAGTTCTCTTTCACAACGTGTCACTTATTGAACTGCATGTTGATTCTCAGACGAAGAACCTTAGAACCATAGGAAATGACCTCAAACTAGTAGAAGGAACATTCAAGAGTACAGTTAGAAAGTATTAGTGTACTGAAAGAGTAGTTGATGCTTGGAACATGACCGTGAAGGTTCTTATATACCCAGGTCATGGTGTATCTAGTAGTAGTTGGACACGTTCAGCTGGACTTGTTCTGTAATGTTGAAGACACAATTGGACCATATAGAGTCACTGTAGCTACTCCCACAACAAGAAGTGTGATCTGCCAAGTTTTTGAATTTATAGGTCACCGTAGATTAATGGCTATTTCCAGGAATCAAGATGACCTCATATGAAGGTATGGGATATTATCTTTTTTTTGGGTCAGGTTTATCTACTGTACCCAAAAATTGTCTCAGTAAGATTCATCTGGTCCTGTGTGTACTTTTTAGGATTCCATGAGCAATGGGCGATTTCTGCCTCTCAGATCAATAACTACTGGCACCAAAGATCTTTTTAGGAGGTAGGCATTCTTTTCAACGATTACCAGTGTAACAGTGTAATAGGGCCCTTCTTCCACTAACCGCAGATCTAAAGGGGCTTCTCCACTGACCACCAATCTAAAGGGGCTTCTCTACCCGACCGCCAATCCAAGGGGATTTCTCCACTGACAACCAATATAAGGGAGCTTCTTCACTGACCACCATTCTAAGGGAGCTTCTCCACGCACCACCAATCCAAGGGGGCTTCTCCACTGATCCTCAATATAGAGGGGCTTCTCCACTGACCACAAATCTAAGGGAGCTTCTCTACTCACCACCAATCCACAGGGTCTTCTTCACTGACCAGCAATCTAAGGGGGTTTCTTCACTGACCAGCAATCTAAGGGGGTTTCTTCACTGACCAGCAATCTAAGGGGTTTTTTTCACTGACCAGCAATCTAAGGGGGCTTCTCCGCTGACCACCAATCTTGAGGGGTTTCTCCACTGACCACCAATCTAAGGGGGCTTTTTCACTGACCACCAATCTAGAGGGTCTTCTCCGCTGACAAGCAATCTAGGGGGGTTTCTCCGCTGACCACCAATCTACAGGGGTTTCTTCACTGACCACCAATCTCGAGGGGCTTCTCTACTGACCTCAATTCCAAGGAGGTTCTTGACTGACCACCAATCTAGGGGGCGCTTCTCCACTCACCACTAATTCAAGGGGGCTTCTCCACCAACCACCAATCTAAGGGGGTTTCTCCACTGACCACCAATCTAAAAGGGTTTCTACGCTGACCACCAATCTAAGGGGGCTTCTCCACTGACCTCCATTCTAAGAGAGCTTCTCCACTGACCACCAATCTAAGGGGGTTTCTCCGCTGACCACCAATCTAAGGGGGTTTCTCCGCTGACCACCAATCTAAGGGGGCTTCTCCGCTGACCTCCATTCTAAGAGAGCTTCTCCACTGACCACCAATCTAAGGGGTCTTCATAATTGACCACCAATCTAAAGGGCCTTCTCCAGGGAACACATTTTCAATGACTGTCTCTTTGATCAGTAATTATTTCTTTTTGTTTTTATTATTGAATATCATTGAGTAGAGCAGCCCTGGGTGTCAAATACGTCAAGTATGCCACATTTGTTATACTTTTATCGGAGAAGTTCACCTTTTCGGGCAGAATTTCTCTTTTAATAATAAATGGAAGCGTTCTCCAATGCCATTTCCGCCCCGGCCCCCCCAATGTGCTTTTCTCTCACTCACCTCATCCACGGGACGTTTCATTTCTTGTCAGTTTATTCGAATTTATAAAATGATTTTCAGATTCCATCACTTCCTATCGATGGTCTGTCAGCATTCACTTCCTGTAGGCCATCTCCCAGAAGCCTTCACTTCCTGTAGGCCATCTCCCAGAAGCCTTCACTTCCTGTAGGCCATCTCCCAGAAGCCTTCACTTCCTGTAGGCCATCTCCCAGAAGCCTTCACTTCCTGTAGGCCATCTCCCAGAAGCCTTCACTTCCTGTAGGCCATCTCTCTGGACTGTAGTGTGTTTCTGAAAACTGGAAAACGCACTGAAATCCGAACATAGAGTTACTGCTATTTGTGTCCTAAGGGCCGGTTCACACTCCATGCGTTTCAATTTCTTTTTTTCTACATCTAAAAACGCACAGAAAGTAGGTTATATGGTTGTCAATGTCAGAGTTCACATCAGCGCTTGCAGTTCCGGTGCATTCCGGTTGCAGAAAAAATGAGTACAACAGGCGGCATTTTTCCTGCACAGAACTGTACTTAAACGCGGCAAAAAGCATCAAAAACGTACTGCAATGAACATGTCCCTATTTAAACTGAAGGAAAAGAGGGCGAAAAAATGAACCGGTACACATCAAAAACGCACTGGAACGCACCAAAATCGCGCTTGCAGAAACGCATCCAGAACACATCTGGACTGTCTTTCTATGGTGTGAACCGGCCCTCAGTTGTTTTTTTCTGCATCCAAAACACACAGAAAGTAGGTGATATGGTTGGCAACGTCATAGTTCACATCAGTGCTAGCAGGTCCAGTGCATTCCTGCAATCTAAGGGAGGTTTCTTCACTGACCACCAATCTAAGGGAGGTTTCTTCACTGACCACCAATCTAAGGGAGGTTTCTCCACTGACCACCAATCTAAGGGAGGTTTCTTCACTGACCACCAATCTAAGGGAGGTTTCTTCACTGACCACCAATCTAAGGGAGGTTTCTTCACTGACCACCAATCTAAGGGAGGTTTCTTCACTGACCACCAATCTAAGGGAGGTTTCTTCACTGACCACCAATCTAAGGGAGGTTTCTCCACTGACCACCAATCTAAGGGAGGTTTCTCCACTGACCACCAATCTAAGGGAGGTTTCTTCACTGACCACCAATCTAAGGGAGGTTTCTCCACTGACCACCAATCTAAGGGAGGTTTCTTCACTGACCACCAATCTAAGGGAGGTTTCTCCACTGACCACCAATCTAAGGGAGGTTTCTTCACTGACCACCAATCTAAGGGAGGTTTCTTCACTGACCACCAATCTAAGGGAGGTTTCTTCACTGACCACCAATCTAAGGGAGGTTTCTTCACTGACCACCAATCTAAGGGAGGTTTCTCCACTGACCACCAATCTAAGGGAGGTTTCTCCACTGACCACCAATCTAAGGGAGGTTTCTTCACTGACCACCAATCTAAGGGAGGTTTCTTCACTGACCACCAATCTAAGGGAGGTTTCTTCACTGACCACCAATCTAAGGGAGGTTTCTTCACTGACCACCAATCTAAGGGAGGTTTCTTCACTGACCACCAATCTAAGGGAGGTTTCTTCACTGACCACCAATCTAGGGGGGGTTTCTTCACTGACCACCAATCTAAGGAAGGTTTCTTCACTGACCACCAATCTAAGGGAGGTTTCTTCACTGACCACCAATCTACGGGGGTTTCTTCACTGACCACCAATCTACAGGGGCTTTTCCACTGACCACCAATCTACAGGGGCTTCTCCACTGACCACCAATCTACAGGGGTTTCTCCACTGACCACCAATCTACGAGGGTTTCTTCACTGACCACCAATCTACAAGGGTTTCTTCACTGACCACCAATCTCGAGGGATTTCTCCACTGACCACCAATCTCGAGGGGCTTGTCCACTGACCACCAATCTCGAGGGACTTCTCCACTGACCACCAATCTACGGGGGTTTCTTCACTGACCACCAATCTCGAGGGGCTTCTCCACTGACCTCAATTCTAAGGAGGCTTCCTGACTGACCACGAATCTAGGGGGGCTTCTCCACTCACCACTAATCCAAGGGGGCTTCTCCACCAACCAGTGCTTGCAGTTCCAGTGCGTTCCGGTTGCAGAAAAAAAAAAAAGTAGAACAGGCTGCATTTTTCTTGCACAGAACTGCACTGGAACGCGGTGAAACGCATAAAAAATGCACCGGAATGCATCAAAAATGCACCTGAAAGCACATGTCCCTATTTAAATTGAAGAGAGAGGGAAAAAAATGAAAAAGGAACCCGTCAAAAACGCACTGGAACACATAAAAAATGCACTGGAACACATTAAAAAAACGCACTGGAACACATTAAAAAAACGCACTGGAATGCGCATGCGAAAACGCATCTGGAACACATTTGGACTTCGTTTCTTTGGTGTGAACCGCCCCTCAGTTTTTTTTTTTCCTGCATTCAAAATGTGCAGAAAAGTAGATTATATGGTTGTCACATGAATGCGGTCAGTTCCAGTGTGTTCTGGTTGCAGAAAAAAAAAAAGTAGAACATTCTTCATTTTTCCTACACTGAACTGCACTGGAATACGGTAAAAACGCATCAAAAATGCACCGGACCGCACCAAAACGTACTGGAACGCACATGTCCGTTTAAATTGAAGGAAAAAAAAAAAAAAGGGGGGGGGGAATGAATCGGAACACATAAGAACCACACTGGAATGTGTAAAGAATGCACCAAAAACGCGCACGCAGAAATAGATCCGGAACGCACCAGAACGTACATGTCCCTATTTAAATTGAAGAAAAGGAGAGGGGGAAAAAATGCATCAAAAACGTGTCAAGAAACACGCATGCGGAAACGCATCCAGAATGCATCTGGACTGCGTTTCTATGGCGTGAACCTTCCCTAAATCTACATACCAACAAGTGATGAAGCTTCCTGAGGCCCGGTTTCGAACTATTTTTGCATTTCGCATTGCGTTTTTTAAACACTTTTTTTTTGTTAAAGGGGAAATGTTTTTGTTGCTGGGCAGAATAAAAAATGCAAAACGCGGCAAAAACGCACTAAAAAAAATAAATAAAAATGCATTGGGGTGAACCAGGCCTGGGAAATTCAGCAAAGGTTGAGGTAAGGCCTTGTTCTCAAAATCTTAGAAAGCTTTTTTTTTTTTTCTGCAACTGAGGTACATGATTGGTACGTGGAAGGGGGGCGGAGCCGGAATTTAGAAAAAAGTGAACTCATCCTTTAATTCTAACCCCAACGCACCATGAGCTGTAAATATAGCCATTGTCAGCAGGGGGCTCCCTGGGACCTGACCGTTATTTCAAGGGTTCCTCCATGTTTAGAAGGTTGGGAAAGGCCGCTCTATGGATTTGACCTCACTCTTGGAAAGCCAGAAGAATTCCCGCCAGCAGTTACCTGAGATAGGAAGCTGCACCCTAGGCATAAAAACAACTTTATTGTTCCAGCGCTGTTGAGAACACTCCCCCACCCCGGCCCCACGGTAGTGCGCTTTGATTGGAGCCCATCTCCAGGGAAATTGAAGGTCTTCCCTTGCAGTGGGGCTGCACCCGCCCTGCAAGGGTTAGCTGTCCTAGGCAGGTAAGGGGTGTGCAGATTTGAGAGAAGTTGAATAACGCCCCTTGCTATAGGTAGAGGCCATTTACATACCTTCCGAAGCCTGGCAGGAAAAACCCCCAGAGACGGCATCATTCCTGGCCTGCCTTGTTGCTAGGACTTTGCTAAGACACTTCCAACTGATTCAAACCCCGCTCACGTATGCTCCCTCTCCCCTGTTGCAGTAGCTCTCTGGGCTCAGCGATGCTGCGAAGGAGGAGTACATGTGGTGGTGGGGTAGGGGGTTTTAACTGGTTTAGCAACAGCCTAGCAACATGAGGATGATGAAGAAGATGAGTTTTTCAAGAGGTGTGTAAATGGCCTCCACCTATAACAAGGGCATTGTCCACCTTCAGTCAGAGCTGCCCACTTTTTATCTAGAGATGCTCCTCACCTCGTTGGTAAAGGTGACGTTTTGGGATGCCATTCATTCATTTTTACCGGCAACCCAATGCACGCGACACAAGACATTGATGTCCTAGCACCCTACAACACACGCTGTGGTGCACCGCGTCAGAACAATTGTCGCAGGATCCGGTTTTAGTGCGTCGTGGAGCTTTGTTGGCCCAACGAATGAGCTGCTTAACACAAATGAACTCTAAAATGCACGATACCGCATCTTATCGCAAGGCACTGGTGTGCACGGGCCCATGCCTTGACCCTCCCCCTCCCTTGTTTCTCAGCAAGTTTCCATTTTACTCTTCAAATCTTGCATGCCATAGGAAATTCAAACACTAGTAACTTTATTCATCTGAACAACATGAACTGAGAGTCCCCACCTGGGACTTTTCAGAAAGCTTGGCGGCTCTGTAAAGGATGGGGTTTATGGAGGGAGCTGGGAGCGAATGTGCTGGATCGGGTCTCTGAAGGAGGCTGAGGTTCTTTCCGGGGACAGAACTTCAGGGCTGGGAGACACTACAGAGGGGGGCTGGAGGCTCTTCAACTACCTAGGGGGCACTTTGGGGACCAAGGTCTCTTAGCGGGCCTGGGGGCACCATAAGAGATTGAGGGGCACTGTGGGCTGCTAGGGGATCTGTAGCTAGTTGGAGGCCCAGAAATAGGGAGGTCATGGCCCAGTGGTTGAGAACCATTGGCATAGGAAGTGGGAGGTACTGTGGGAAGTAAGGGGATTTGCAGCTAACTGGAGGCCACGACCAACTGGTTGAGAAACACGGGCATGGGAACTGGGAGGTATTGTGATAGGTTAGGGGATCTGTAGCTAGCTGGAGGTCCAGAAACAGGGAGGCCACAGACCAGTGGTTGAGAACCACTGGTATGGAAACTAGGAGGCACTGTGGGAGGTTAAAGGATCTGCAGCTAGCAGGAGGCATAAAGACAGGGGATCTGCAGCTAGCTGGAGGCCACAAACCAGTGGTTGAGAACTACTGGCATGGGAGCTGGGAGGCACTGCGGGAGGTTAGGGATCTGCAGCTTGCTGGAGGTCCAGAAACAGGGAGGAAACGGCCCAGTGGTTGAGAACCACTGGTATGGAAACTGGGAGGCACTGTGGGAGGTTAGGGGATCTGAAGCTATCTGGAGGCCAAGAACCAGTGGTTGAAAACTACTGGCATGGGAACTGGGAGGCACTGCAGGAGGTTAGGGGATTTGCAGCTACCTGGAGGACCAGAAATAGGAAGGTCATTGCTCAGTGGTTGAGAACCACTGGCATGGGAGCTGGGAGGCACTGTGGAGGTTATGGGATCTGCAGCTAGCTGGAGGTCCAGAAACAGGGAGGTCACGGCCCAGTGGTTAAGAACCACTGGTATGGAAACCGGGAGGCACTGTGGGAGGTTAGGGGATCTGCAGCTAACTGGAGGCATAGGCACGGGATCTGAAGCTAGCTGGAGGCCACAAACCAGCGTTTGAGAACTACTGGCATGGGAACTGGGAGGCACTGTGGGAGGTTTGGGGATCTGCAGTTAGCTGGAGGCCCAGAAATAGGGAGGCCATGGCCCAGTGGTTGAGAACCACTAGCATGGGAACTGGAAGGCATTGCAGGAGGTTAGGGGATTTGCAGCTGGCTGGAGGCCACAAACCAGTGGTTGAAAACTACTGGCATGGGAGCTGGGAGGCACTGTGGGAGGTTTGGGGATCTGCAGCTATCTGGAGGCCCAGAAATAGGAAGGCCATGGCCCAGTGGTTGAGCACCACTGGCATGGGAACTGGAAGGCACTGCGGGAGGTTAGGGGATCTTCAGCCAGCTAGAGGCATAGAAAAAGGGGATCTGCAGCTAGCTGAAGGTCACAAACCAGTGGTGGAGAACTACTGGCATGGGAACCGGGAGGCACTATGGTTATTTGGAGGCCCAGAAATAAAGAAACCATGGCCCAGTGGTTCGGAACCACTGGCATTGGAACTGGGAAGCATTGTGGGAGGTTAGGGGATCTGCAGCTACCTGGAGGCCCAGAAACAGAGAGGCCACTGGCATGAACACTGGAGATCACTCAAGTCAACATGACTGACATTCACAGGACGCCTTGTGTGTTTCTCAATGAATGCAAGGCATTCCCTCATTGCACCAGGTGGAGATCATGACATCACCTCTCTGCTTCTCCACCTCCAATCAGAGAGTGCGTAGCATTCATTGACCCGCTTGGCACGGGACCCAGAAGACAGGCGCAATCACTGTAGTGGTGGAGACTACCGCATGGATTTTCAGATCCCACAGGTATGGCACATCCATAGTTACCTTGCTGGACCAAGGTAATGATGGCATAAATTACATACCTGCTTCAGCTTTAAGTTGTCTAGATAAAGTTGCAAGCATTTGAATGTCCTTTGGACTCGTGCAGTTATGGGGTATAGGCGGAGCCCCTGCTGGCGTCCCCCACCGGCTCTTCCAGTTTCAGGCATAGAAAGCAGCATACCCCCTACTTTTTCACTTTGCCAGCATAGCCTCTGCCCCCATTGGCTTTGCATTTCTTCTTTTTTAGTTGATAAAATGGTTCCAAAAGCCAGGCTTTGAAAGATTCGATCACGAAGACGAAATTAATTTTCCACAACACAAGTCATCATTTGAACCAACTCTTCATTCTAATAATCACACATAAGAGTCTAAAATACGAACATACAAAGTAATTAAAAGAAAAAAGCCAAGTTAGGGCGTTGCCAGTCACTGGCCTCCATCGGTCACGTGTCAAGTTCGTACACCTCTTGCTAGAGCGGTCCGTATCTCCTCGGCCACGCCCTCCATCTCCACATCATCTTCCTCCACCTCACTAGGTTGCTCTAGTTCCTCTTCGGAGGCCTCCTCCAGCCAGTGATCCTCAAAAGGTTCTCTACGGCCCTCACAGATATTATGAAGAACGCAGCAAGCGGTGACCAGAATCGGCAAGAAGGAGAGGTCCACATGGCTGCTCTTTAACAGGCAACGCCAACGGCTCTTGAGGCGCCCAAAGGCTATCTGAGTCAAGGTCAGGGCAGACGCAAAGCGCCGGTTCAGCTCCACATCGGCTGCAGTTGATTCTTTGGTGAGGGGCGTCATAAGCCACGGGAGGAGGGGGTAAGAACGTGACCCCAACAAATGGATGGGCACCTCAACGCCGTTCACGTTCTTGGTGGTGCTGGGGAACAGAGTTCCTTCTGTGCCGCGCTCATAGAGCTCCGAGGCCACCAAAACCTGAGAATCTGATAAGCTACCAGGACAGCCGACGTTCAAGTCCCAAAAGCAGAAATCGGGGTCCACCACCGCTTGGAGAACCACAGAACGCCAACCTTTGGTGTTGTAGAACTGTCCCGTAGAGTCATTAGAGGGACCGATGGCTACATGTAGGGTCCCGACCACCCGGCTACCTGCGCTAGACCGTAACGGCGTTCAAACCCTTTAAGCGTCTCTTGAAGAACGTCTCCTTGAGGGACGGAAATCAAAGTAGGGGCAAGGATGGACGCCACTGCCTCGCACACGTCGCGGATGACCCTAACTATGGTGGAACAAGAGAGCCCGAAGATCTCCTCCATCGTCTGGAAATTGCAGGAGGAACCCAGGTGCCACAGCGTCACCGCCAACCGTACTTCCACCGGGATCGCTTGGTGCATGCCGGCGTCCATCCTGTGAACGACCGGTCGCAGCTGGTTGCACAGGAAGTCGAAGGTGGGTTTCGTCATGCGGAAGCTCTCTGTCCAGTCGAAGCGCGAGAAGGTCTTTTCTATGGCGGCATTCCAAACCCGAGACTCCTGACTTTCCTCCGGGGGTCGCCCTTCCGCGGATAACAACCTAGAGGCCCACATGGCGGCGAAGCGGAGGCGCTCCCGTGCTTTGGAGCGGCGGAAGAGGAAAAGTCGTCTCCGGCGCTCCGAGTCCCTCAGCCGTCGTTCCTTCTTCAGGCGGACGTAGTAGAGCGAACAGAGGGCGACCGTTCCGGCGCACAGCTCGGAAAGGGGCGGGGAATTGCTGTGAGATGATGTCCTATCAGAGTTGTCCCTGGTTGGCGGTTTGGTTCTCTTCTAGTCCTTGGTTTTGGAAGGTAGAGGAGTCCCCGATGGTGGAAGTTGTTGGTACCCCGGCTGTGGTATTGGCGGCTACGGCTCTCATACCCTCCCCTGATGGTGGATTTGTTGACGTGTCCAGTGCCCAACCCCCGCCCCGCACAATCCTGGCTCTCCGCCATATTTCCTCGGTGACGTCCTCCTCCGACTCCACATACTTCATGTGTTGATGGATGATCCGACCCCGACCGCCGTCTGCCAGCTGAGGAATTTGTCGCTGACTGGAGGCCATTATTCCAGGACGGCGGCCCAGGCCTGGAGGATGGCGGCCATCTTGTTGTACCACAGCTGGTCCCTTCTATCAGGCCGCCTCTATCTGCCTTCCATCTTCCTCCATTCTCCCCATCACTGTCTTCTCCCTCCATCACATCTCTCTCAGGGGGCTTTTCCCGCCTTTCTGACGCACTGGTTACCCTAGAAACGGTGGTATCCGGCCAGGGGCGGGGCCAGAAAGCATGTTCCGGGATAGCGGACAGCTGCACTGTCCCATACGTGGTCCCGCCTACTCAGTGGGTGGGGACGTAGAGTTCTAGGAGGCGGGGTCCGTACATTGCGCTTGTCAGCACTAGACAGGCTGTTGTGGGCGGGGTCAGCACCTCAAGAGAATTGCCGTAAGGGGCGGGGCTCCTTTTCCCTAACTTGACGTGGCGGAAATCCAGCTTCCGGTCGGGAAGGGAACTGACGTCAACCTCGGAGTGTCCGACCATTGGACCCGGAAGTAAGCGGGGTCCCGGGCAAGATGGAGGTGCTGAGAGGTGTCCTGGTCCCGGGAGTCCTTCCCGAGAGCTGCTACGATGAGTTCTTCCTCCAGTACAACCTACTGCACGGTACCTACCCCCCGTCCTCAACTGCCCCCTCCCCCATCACCTGCCTCTGATCACTGACCCCCCCCATCACCTGCCCCTGATCACTGCCCCCCCTCCCCCCATCACCTGCCCCCTCCCCCCATCGTCTGCCCCTGTTCACTGACCCCTCCCCCCCATCGCCTGCCCCTGATCACTGCCCCCCCCCCCCTCATCGCCTGCCCCTGATCACTGCCCCCCCCCCCCCCCCCTCATCGCCTGCCCCTGATCACTGCCCCCCCCCCCTCATCGCCTGCCCCTGATCACTGCCCCCCCCCCCCCATCGCCTGCCCCTGATCACTGCCCCCCCCCTCATCGCCTGCCCCTGATCACTGCCCCCTCCCCCCATCACCTGCCCCCCCCCCCCCATCGCCTGCCCCTGATCACTGTCCTCCCTCCCCCCATCGCTGCCCCTGATCACTGTCCTCCCTCCCCCCATCGCCTGCCCCTGATCACTGTCCTCCCTCCCCCCATCGCCTGCCCCTGATCACTGACCCCCTCCCCCCCATCGCCTGCCCCTGTTCACTGACCCCCCCTCCCCGCATCGCCTGCCCCTGATCACTGACCCCCCCTCCCCGCATCGCCTGCCCCTGTTCACTGACCCCCCCCTCCCCCCATCGCCTGCCCCTGTTCACTGACCCCCCCTCCCCCCATCGCCTGCCCCTGATCACTGACCCCCCCCCCCATCACCTGCCCCTGATCACTGCCCCCTCCCCCCATCACCTGCCCCCCCCCCCCCATCGCCTGCCCCTGATCACTGTCCTCCCTCCCCCCATCGCTGCCCCTGATCACTGTCCTCCCTCCCCCCATCGCCTGCCCCTGATCACTGACCCCCTCCCCTCATCGCCTGCCCCTGATCACTGACCCCCCCTCCCCGCATCGCCTGCCCCTGTTCACTGACCCCCCCTCCCCGCATCGCCTGCCCCTGTTCACTGACCCCCCCTCCCCGCATCGCCTGCCCCTGTTCACTGACCCCCCCTCCCCCCATCGCCTGCCCCTGTTCACTGACCCCCCCTCCCCGCATCGCCTGCCCCTGTTCACTGACCCCCCCTCCCCCCATCGCCTGCCCCTGTTCACTGACCCCCCCTCCCCCCATCGCCTGCCCCTGTTCACTGACCCCCCTCCCCCCATCGCCTGCCCCTGATCACTGACCCCCTTCCCCCCCCATCGCCTGCCCCTGAACACTGAACCCCTCCCCCCCCCCCATCGCCTGCCCCTGAACACTGAACCCCTCCCCCCATCGCCTGCCCCTGTTCACTGACCCCCTTCCCCCATCACCTGCCCCTGAACACTGAACCCCTCCCCCCTTCGCCTGCCCCTGAACACTGAACCCCTCCCCCCATCGCCTGCCCCTGTTCACTGAACCCCTCCCCCCATCGCCTGCCCCTGAACCCCTCCCCCCATCACCTGCCCCTGAACACTGAACCCCTCCCCCCATCGCCTGCCCCTGAACACTGAACCCCTTCCCCCATCGCCTGCCCCTGAACCCCTCCCCCCATCACCTGCCCCTGAACACTGAACCCCTCCCCCCATCACCTGCCCCTGATCACTGCCCCCTCCCCCCATCACCTGCCCCTGATCACTGCCCCCTCCCCCATCGTCAAATACTAAACTGACTGCTATCCCCTGGAAGGACATCACATGACATCTGTTTCTGTCTCCCCCTCCAGTCCCGTGTCTGAAGATTCTGCTCAGTAAGGTTCTGGGGTTCGGGATCATCGCCGGCTCTGTGATGGGTGAGTCATCGCCCCCCCCCCCCCCCCCCCCCCCCCCCCGGGTTCACGGCCATTCATTTCCGACAATCCGACACCCTCCTCGCCTCCCTCATAGATGAAGCTGGGAGATCCCGGCACTGCAGGTCCTCAGGTACACCTTCCCCTCCAGCAAGGAGAACAGTAACTAGTGCAGCCGCCATATCACCAGCAGTCAGAGGCAGCAGTGCCTTAGATGACCTCACACTGCAGATGTACAGCTATGAGGATACAGAACAGGGGTGCCTAGGCACAGGAAGTGCAATGATATCAAGACTCTTACTGTTTAGGAAATGGCTTAATATTAGGCTTTTCTAGGTACAGGATGTTCCCCAGTATCAGGAGTGCCTAGGGACAGGAAATGCAATATCAGGAGTGCCCCAGTACAGATAGTGACCCAATATCAGGAGTGCCTAGGCACAGGAAGTGACCCAATATCAGGAGTGCCTAGGCACAGGAAGTGACCCAATATCAGGAGTGCCTAGGCACAGGAAGTGCACTACTATCTAAATGAGGAGTAACAGGTAAAAAGTACAAGTGTCGGGGTACGATGAACATCCATGGAATGTCTGCACTTCCTGGGATCCAGTTGGGGTATGCAGTAAGTGTAGGGAGTGCAGAGCTCAGACTGTGTGCCCCCCCCCCCCCAGTGCTGTGACCCCCTGTAATCCTTCCAGTCCCTCCATGGACCGTCTGCCTCTCTTTCAGCCTGTCTTCCTCTGTCGCCCAGTAAAGGTCCCACAGATCATCAAACTGCTGAGATCCGGCACCGCCGAGGGGCTGAGCTTCCACTCCGTCCTCCTGGAACTGCTGGCACTGACCGGGACCATGGTGTACAGCATCACTCGCAGCTTCCCCTTCAGGTGAGACCCCTCCCCCACCACCACTGGGGGGCTCCTGTATTGGGGGCTCTTCATTTCAGGAGCAGCCGGATGACTCTGAGATCCTGGAAGTTTCCTCCACTGCTCCCTGTGTGTTCCATTGGGAAAGATGACCGCTCTATGGACTAATACCATCCTCCTCCTCTGTCCTAGTGCCTGGGGGGAGGTCCTCTTCCTCCTCCTCCAGACTCTGATCATCGGATTCCTCATCCAGCACCTGGGGGAGCCGCACAAACCTGGGTATGGTCCCTGACACTCCCCTCCGTATTCTCTCCTCTCCTTGACACTCCCCACTGCTCTCTCTACCCTCCCTGGCGCTCCCCCCCCGCTCACTCTCCTCCCCCTGACACTCCCCTCTGCTCTCTCTCCTCTGCCCTCCCTGGTGCCCCCCGCTCTCTCTCCTCTTCTCCTCTCCCTGACGCTTCTCCCTGCTCTCTCTCCTCTCCCTGACTCGCTCCTCCCCCCCCCCCGCTATCTCTCTGACTCGCTCTCTCGCTCCCCCCTCTGCTCTCTCTCCTTTCCCTGACTCCCCCCCCCCGCTCTCTCTCCTTTCCCTGACTCGCCCCCCCCCTCTCCTCTCCCTGACTCGCCCCCCCCTCTCCTCTCCTCTCCCTGACTCGCCCCCTCCCTCTCTCTCTCTCTCTCTCTGACTCTCTCCCTCTCTCTCCTCTCTCTGACTCCCCCCCTGCTCTCTCTCTCCTCTCCTCTCCCCCTGCTCTCTCTCTCCCCCTGCTCTCTCCCTCTCCTCTCCCTCCTCTGCTCCCCCCTGCTCTCTCTCCTCTCCTCCCTGACTCGCCCCCCCCTGCTCTCTCTCTCCTCTCCTCTCCCTCCCTCGCCCCCCCCCTCTCCCTCTCCTCTCCCTCTCGCTCCCCCCTGCTCTCTCTCCTCTCCTCCCTCGCTCCCCCTCGCTCCTCCCCTGCTCTCTCTCCCCCCCTCTCCCTCCCTCGCTCCCCCCTGCTCTCTCTCCTCTCCCTGACTCGCTCCCCCCGCTCTCTCTCCCTCCCCTCGCCCCCTCTCCCCTCTCTCTCTCCTCTCCTCTCCCTGACTCCTCCCACTCGCTCCCCCTGCTCTCTCTCTCCTCTCTCTCCCTGACTCGCTCCCCCCCCTGCTCTCTCCCCTCTCCCTACTCGCTCCCCCCCTGCTCTCTCTCCTCTCCCTGACTCGCTCCCCCCTGCTCTCTCTCCTCTCCCTGACTCGCTCTCCCTCCCTGTCTCGCTCCCCCCTGCTCTCTCCTCTCCCTGACTCGCTCCCCCCTGCTCTCTCTCTCTCCTCCCTGACTCGCTCCCCCCTGCTCTCCCTCTCTCTCCCTGACTCGCTCCCCCTGACTCCTCTCCCTCCCCTCTCTCTCCCCCCTCTCTCTCTCCTCTCCTGACTCTCTCCCCCCTGCTCTCTCTCTCCTCTCCCTCTCTCGCTCCCCCCCCTGCTCTCTCCCTCTCCTCTCTCTCTCCTCTCCCTGACTCGCTCCCCCTGCTCCCCCCTGCTCTCCTCTCCCTGACTCGCTCCTCTCTCTCCTCCTCCCTGACTCTCTCCCCCCTGCTCTCTCCTCTCCCTGCTCCCCCCCTGCTCTCTCTCTCTCCTCGCCCCCCTGACCCTCTCCCCCTGCTCTCTCTCCTCTCCCTGACTCCTCCCCCCTGCTCTCTCTCCTGTTCTCTCTCTCCCCCCTCTCTCTCTCCTCTCCTCTCCCTGACTCGCTCCCCCTGCTCTCTCTCCTCTCTCTCCTCTCTCCCCCCTCTCTCTCTCCTCCCTGACTCGCTCCCCCCCTGCTCTCTCTCTCTCTCTCTCCCTCGCGCCCCCCCCCCCTCTCTCTCTCCTCTCCCTGACTCCCCCCCTGCTCTCTCTCTCTCTCTCCCTCACTCGCTCCCCCCTGCTCTCCCTCCTCTCCTCCCTCTCCCTGACTCGCTCCCCCCTCTCTCCTCTCCTCCCCCCCTCCCTCTCTCTCTCCCTCACTCGCTCCCCCCCCCCTCTCTCTCTCCTCTCCCCCTCCCTGACTCGCTCTCCCCCCCTGCTCCTCTCTCTCTCCTCCTCTCCTCTCTCCTCGACTCCCTCCCCCTCTCCTCTCTCTCTCTCCCTCCTCCCCCTCGCTCTGCTCCTCCCTCCTCGCTCCCCTCTCTCTCCTCGCTCCCCTCTCCTCTCCCTGACTCGCTCCCCCCTGCTCCCCCCCTGCTCTCTCTCCTCTCCCTGACTCCTCCCCCCTGCTCTCTCCCTCCCTGACTCCTCTCTGCTCTCTCCCTCACTCGCTCCCCCCTCTCTCCTCTCCCCTCGCTCCCCCCTGCTCTCTCTCCTGACTCGCTCTCCTCCCCTCCCTCTCTCTCCTCCTCCCTGACTCTCGCTCCCCCTCTCCCCCCCTCTCTCTCCTCTCCCTGACTCCTCCCCCCTCTCTCTCTCTCTCTCCTCTCTCCTCCTCTCCCTGACTCGCCCCCCCTGCTCTCTCTCCTCTCCTCTCCCTCTCCCTCTCCTCGCCCCCCTGCTCTCTCTCCTCTCCTGACTCCTGCACCCCTCCCCCCCTGCTGTCTCTCCTCTCCCCTGCTCCCCCCTGCCTCTCCTCTCTCTCCTCTCCTCTCCCTGACCTCGCTCCCCCTGCTCTCTCTCTCCCCTCTCTTCTCCCTGACTCGCTCCCCCCTGCTCTCTCTCCTCCTTCTTCCTGACTCGCTCCTCCCCCCCCCCCTCTCTCTCTCTCCTCTCTCTCCCTCCTCTCTCCTCTCCCTGACTCGCTCCCCCCTCTCGCTCTCCCTGCTCTCTCTCTCTCTCCCTGACTCGCTCCCCCCCCTCTCCCTCTCCTCTCCCTCCTCCTCTCCCTGACTCGCTCCCCCCTGCTCTCTCTCTCCTCTCCCTGACTCGCTCCCCCCTGCTCTCTCTCCTCTCCCTGACTCGCTCCCCCCTGCTCTCCTCTCCTCTCCTGACTCCTCTCTCCCCTCCCTCCTCTCGCTCTCTCTCCTCTCCCTGACTCGCTCCCCCCTCTCTCTCTCCTGACTCCCTGACTCTTCCCCCTTGCTCTCTCTCTCTCTCCTCTCCCTGACTCGCCCCCCTCTCTCTCTCCTCTCTCTCTCCCTGACTCGCTCCTCCCCCTCCCCCCTCTCTCTCTCCCTTCCTCCCCCCTGCTCTCTCTCCTCCCCCTCTCTGACTCTCTCCCCCCTCTCTCTCTCCTCTCCCTGACTCGCCCCCTGCTCTCTCTCCTCTCCCTCCCTGACTCCCTCCCCCCTCTCTCTCTCCTCTCCTCTCCCTGACTCGCTCCCCCCTCCTCTCTCCTCCTCTCCTCTCCTCTCCCTGACTCGCTCCCCCCTGCTCTCTCTCCTCTCCTCTCCCCTCGCTCCCCCCCCTGCTCTCTCTCCTCTCCCTCTCCTCCTCCCCCTGCTCCCCCCCTCCCTCCTCCCTCCCTGACTCTCCTCCCCCCCCCCCCTCTCCTCTCCCTGACTCCCTGACTCGCTCCCCCCTGCTCTCTCTCCTCTCTCCTGACTCGCCCCCCCTGCTCTCTCTCCTCTCCCTGACTCGCTCCCCCCTGCTCTCTCTCCTCTCCCTCTCGCTCCCCCCTGCTCTCTCTCCTCTCCCTGACTCGCTCCCCCCTCTCTCTCCTCTTCCTGACTCGCTCCCCCCTCTCTCTCTCCTCTCTCCTGACTCGCTCCCCCCTGCTCTCTCTCCTCTCCCTGACTCGCTTCCCCCTGCTGTCTCTCCTCCCTGACTCTCTCCCCCCCTTCCTCTCCTCCTCCCCCCCTGCTCCCCCTCTCTCCTCTCCTCTCCCTGACTCGCTCCCCCCCTCTCTCTCTCCTCTCCTCTCCCTGACTCGCTCCCCCCTGCTCTCTCTCCTCTCCTCTCCCTGACTCGCTCCCCCCTGCTCTCTCTCCTCTCCCTCCCTCGCTCCCCCCCCTGCTCTCTCTCCTCTCCTGACTCGCTCCCCCCCCCTCTCTCTCTCCTCTCCCTGCTCCCTCCCTGCTCTCTCCCCCTGCTGTCTCTCCTCTCTCTCTCCCTGACTCGCTCCCCCCTGCTCTCTCTCCTCCTCCTCTCCCTGACACGCTCCCCCCCCTGCTCTCCTCTCCTCTTCCTGACTCTCGACCCCCCCCCCCCCCCCCCCCTGCTGTCTCTCCTCTCCCTGACTCGCTTCCCCCTGCTCCCCCTCTCTCTCTCTCCTTTCCTGACTCGCTCGCTCCCCCACTGCTCCTTCCTCCTTTTCCTGACTCGCGCCCCCCCCCCCTCTCTCTCCTCTCCCTGACTCGCTCGCCCCCCCCGCTCTCTCTCCTCTCCCTGACTCGCTCCCCCCCCTCTCTCTCTCCTCTCCCTGACTCGCTCTCCCCCCCCCTCTCTCCCCTCTCTCTCCTCTCCCTGACTCTTCCCCTTGCTCTCTCTCCTCTCCCTGACTCTTCCCCTTGCTCTCTCTCCTCTCCCTGACTCTCCCCCCCTGCTCTCCCCCCCCCCCCCCCCCCCCTCTCTCTCCTCTCCCTGACCCCCCCCCCCCCCCCGCTCTCTCTCCTCTCCCTGACTCTCCCCCCCCCCCCTCTCTCTCCTCTCCCTGACTCCCCCCCCCCCTCCTCTCTCTCTCTCCTCTCCCTGCTCTCTCTCTCCCCCCCCCCCCCCCCCGCTCTCTCTCCTCTCCCTGACTCTCCCCCCCCCCCCCCCCGCTCTCTCTCCTCTCCCTGACTCTCCCCCCCCCCCCCCCCCCCTCCGCTCTCTCTCCTCCCCCCTGTGTCTCCCCCCCCCCGCTCTCTCTCCTCTCCCTGTGTCTCCCCCCCCCCCCCCCCCGCTCTCTCCCCTCTCCCTGTGTCTCCCCCCCGCTCTCTCTCCTCTCCCTGACTCCCCCCCCCCCCCCCCGCTCTCTCTCCTCTCCCTGACTCCCCCCCCCCCCCGCTCTCTCTCCTCTCCCTGACTCTCTCCCCCCCCGCTCTCTCTCCTCTCCCTGACTCTTCCCCCCCCCCTCTCCCCCCCCCCCCCCCTCTCTCTCTCCTCTCCCTGACTCTCCCCCCCCCCCGCTCCCGCTCTCTCTCCCGCTCCCTCCTCTTCCTTTCCCCCCCCCCTCTCTCCCCTCTCCCTGACTCTCTTTCCCCCCGCTCTCTCTCCTCTCCCTGACTCTTTCCCCCCCCCCCCCCCGCTCTCTCTCTCTCCCTCTCTCTTCCCCCCCCCCCCCCGCTCTCTCTCCTCTCCCTGACTCTTCCCCCCCCCCGCTCTCTCTCCTCTCCCTGACTCTTCCCCCCCCGCCCCCGCGCTCTCTCCCCCCCTCCTCTCCCTGACTCCCCCCCCCCCCCCCCCCCCCCCGCGCTCTCTCCTCTCCCTGACTCTTCCCCCCCCCCCCGCTCTCTCTCCTCTCCCTGACTCTTCCCCCCCCCCCCCCCGCTCTCTCTCCTCTCCCTGACTCTTCCCCCCCCCCCCCGCTCTCTCTCCTCTCCCTGACTCTTCCCCCCCCCCCCCGCTCTCTCTCCTCTCCCTGACTCTTTCCCCCCCCCCCCGCTCTCTCTCCCTCTCCCTGACTCTTCCCCCCCGCTCTCTCTCCTCTCCCTGACTCTTCCCCCCCCCCCCCGCTCTATCTCCTCCCCGACGAGCCCCCCCCCCTGCTCTCTCTCCTTGACGCGCTCCCCCCCCCCCCCTGCTCTCTCTCCTTGACGTGCTCCCCCCCCCCTGCTCTCTCTCCTCTTCTCTCCCTGACTCTTCCCCCCCCCCCCCCCCCCCGCTCTCTCTCCTCATCCTGACTCTCTCCCTCCTGACTCTCCCTCCTGCTCTCTCCCCTCGTCCTGACTCTCTGCCCCCTCCCTCTCTCTCTCTCCCCACTCCCTCTCTTCTCGCCTCTCCCCCTCCCTGACTCACCCCCGCACTCTCTTCTCCTCCAGGAATCCTGTTCCTCGGTATATACTTCTCCATAGTAGCTGTCCTGCTGTGTCCGGTTGTCCCCATGGCGGTGGTCACAATGCTCCAGGCCACGAATGTTCCGGCAATTATTATTAGTAGGGTGAGTACCCCGGAGTTCATTTCTTGTGTCCCTTTAAACCTGCAGTGGGGGAGGGGCCACCCACAGAATGGTAGGTAACGCCCACATTTCTCTTACAGCTTATCCAAGCAATGACTAACTACAAGAACGGTCACACGGGTCAGTTATCAGCCGTCACAGTAGCACTTTTATTTCTGGGCTCTCTGGCTCGAATATTCACCTCCATCCAGGTAAGAGAATGATTGCATTTGTGTGTGGTGGGGGGTATACTGGGGGGTACTGCACCGGGCTGTGTATTGGAGAGACGTGTGGCGGGAGGTGTCCCGGGCTGTGTGTTGGAGACGTGTGGCGGGAGGTGTCCCGGGCTGTGTGTTGGAGACGTGTGGCGGGAGGTGTCCCGGGCTGTGTGTTGGAGACGTGTAGCGGGAGGTGTCCCGGGCTGTGTGTTGGAGACGTGTGGCGGGAGGTGTCCCGGGCTGTGTGTTGGAGACGTGTGGCGGGAGGTGTCCCGGGCTGTGTGTTGGAGACGTGTGGCGGGAGGTGTCCCGGGCTGTGTGTTGGAGACGTGTAGCGGGAGGTGTCCCGGGCTGTGTGTTGGAGACGTGTGGCGGGAGGTGTCCCGGGCTGTGTATTGGAGAGACATGTGGCGGGAGGTGTCCCGGGCTGTGTGTTGGAGACGTGTGGCGGGAGGTGTCCCGGGCTGTGTGTTAAAGACGTGTGGCGGGAGGTGTCCCGGGCTGTGTGTTGGGAGACGTGGTGGGGGGTGTACTGGGCCACGTATTGGAGAAGTGTATCGGGCCGTGTGTTGGGAGACATGTGGTGGGGGTGTACCGGGCCACATGATGGAGACGTGTGGTGGGAAGTGTATTGTAGACGTGCGGTGTGAGGTGTATTGTAGACATGTGTCGGTGCGGTGTGAGGTGTATTGTAGACGTGTCGCGGTGCAGTGGGAGGCGCTCTGTAGACGTGTTGCGGTGCTGTGGGAGATGTATTGTAGACATGTCGCGGTGGGAGTTCTGTAGACGTGTCACGGTGCGGTGGGAGGAGTTCTGTAGACGTGTCACGGTGCGGTGGGAGGAGTTCTGTAGACGTGTCACGGTGTGGTGGGAGGAGTTGTGTAGACGTGTCACGGTGCGGTGGGAGGAGTTCTGTAGACGTGTCGCGGTGCGGAGGGAGGCGTATTGTAGACGTGTTGCGGTGGGAGGTGTTCTGTAGACATGGTGCGGAGGGAGGCGTATTGTAGACGTGTCGCGGTGGGAGGTGTTCTGTAGATACTGGGTGGGGTGTACACCGCCTCTCTCATTTCTCCTTGCCGTTGTTTCCAGGAGACCGGAGACCATCTGATGGCCGTCACCTACATGGTCTCCTCGGCCTGCAATGGGCTGATCTTCTCTCAGCTGCTCTATTACTGGAACGTCGGATCGGCCGGAGAGAAGAAGAAGAAGAGAAGCTGAGGGGGAGAGAGACTCCGGAACCATTCCACTCCTATAAACCCCGCCCCCTTCCCCGCCGACCAATCATAGCTGGAATCCTGGAATAAATTGCTGTGTTTTTATACCTGTGGCTCTGTGTTGGGGATTGTCTGTTTGCAGAGATTTGTAGATGTCACAGGAGTGCTGACTTTACCTTTAAACAAGCTTTTAGCGGGATAAAAGGAAACTCCTCGTTTGCCGCGCAGCCGGTCCTGAAATCACGTCTTTATTCCTGTACATTACAGCTCCACGTTCTGCATGGGAAGGGGCGGAGATCTGACTTCTCTGTCACAGTTTCACTTTCACTTACAGGTTATCTCTATCCAGTAGGTGCAGCAGATGCATTATCTCATCTGCAGCTCAACTGATTGGCTCCTTGTGCTGTATTGATCACCATCACTGAGTATTACTTCTCATCACTGATACGGAGTATGTATTAGATTACTTATCACTGATACTGAGTTTGTATTGATCAATACATCAATATCAGTATCAGTGATAAATATTCAATACATACTCAGTGATGTGAACTAATCAATATATACTCAATACTGGTGATCAATATAGACTCCTCATCAGTGATGAGAAGTAATCAATACATACTCAGCATCAGTGATGTGAAGTAATCAATATAGACTCAGCATCAGTGATGTGAAGTAATCAATATATACTCAATACCGGTGATCAATACATACTCAGCATCAGGGATGAGAAGTAATCAATATATACTCAGCATCAGTGATGTGAAGTAATCAATATATACTCAATACCGGTGATCAATATAGACTCCTTATCAGTGATGAGAAGTAATCAATACAAACTCAGCATCAGGGATGAGAAGTAATCAATATATACTCAATACCGGTGATCAATACATACTCAGCATCAAGGATGAGAAGTAATCAATATATACTCAATACCGGTGATCAATATAGACTCCTTATCAGTGATGAGAAGTAATCAATACAAACTCAGCATCAGGGATGAGAAGTAATCAATATATACTCAATACCGGTGATCAATACATACTCCGGATCAGTGACGTAAAGTAATAAATTCGTACTCTGTGTCAGTGATCACTGATCCGGAGTATGTATTGATCACCGGTATTGAGTATATATTGATTACTTCACATCACTGATGCTGAGTATATATTGATTACTTCTCATCCCTGATGCTGAGTCTATATTGATCACCGGTATTGAGTATATTGATTACTTCTCATCCCTGATGCTGAGTATGTATTGATCACCGGTATTGAGTATATATTGATTACTTCTCATCACTGATGCTGAGTCTATATTGATCACCGGTATTGAGTATATTGATTACTTCTCATCCCTGATGCTGAGTATGTATTGATCACCGGTATTGAGTATATATTGATTACTTCACATCGCTGATGAGGAGTCTGTATTGATCACCGGTATTGACTATATATTGATTACTTCACATCACTGATGCTGAGTCTATATTGATCACCGGTATTGAGTATATATTGATTACTTCACATCACTGATGCTGAGTGTGTATTGATCACTGATATAGAGGATGTATTGATCACCTCTTCTGAGTATGGGTAGCACAGTGGCCAAATGGTTAGCACCTCCGCCTGGCAGTACTCGGGTTGGTTGGAATGCCAACCACCTGCCTAGAGTTTACATGTTCTCCCTCTGCCTGTGTGGGTTTCCTCCGGGTGCTTCGGTTTCCTCCCACACTCTAAAGACATGCTGGGAGGTGAATTGGCTCCTGTCAAAATTGGTCCCTAGTATGTATGCATGTGAGTTAGGGACCTTAGATTGTACGCCCCTCGGGGGCGGGGCCTGATGTGAATGTACAATATATATTGATGGCGCTATATAAGTACCTGAAATAAATATGTATAGATCACTTCTCATCACCTACAGTATACTGATTATGTATTGATCATCTATCGCCAATATTCAGTATGTATTCCCTGTCATCACTGATACTGGGTATGTAATATCCAACCCTTTGTGCCGATGTCACACAAATATGCGGCCTCACAGAACCGGGCTTTGTTTCCGTGGGGGTCGCGTTTTTGCAATCCTGTCTTAGTAGTGGGAGTGCGCCCACACAGCGCGCTCCCAGCACAAAGACCGCGGTGTCACTGAGAGTCCTGGGTCCCGTTCTAGCGATCGGGACCCGGGATTCCCGATTCCAGGTCACATGATCGCTGTGATAGCCTCTGATTGGCTATCACAGCGATCATGTGGTCAGTCACTGTACAGCTCGGCCTCCTTGTTTTTTTTTTTTTTTCTCTATGAATGGAGGAGAGAGATACATTGTATCTTTCTAACTCCTGGCATAGATGGAAAAAGAACGTTAAGGAAAAGATAAATATTAAAAAAGAAAAAAATACCTAGATCAAGGTTTGATCTAGTTCAGTGCCGGGGTAAGTGTTTGGGTCGGGGCAAAGGTCAGGATTTTTAATTTTTTTTTAAAATTGTCAATGTGCTTTTGGTAAAAAAAAAAAAAAAAAAAAGAAAAAGGGCACTATTGTTTCTGCGCTGTACTCCGGGTACAAACTACACATAACATACACATACAGTCAGGTCCATAAATATTGGGACATCTACACAATTCTAACATTTTTGGCTCTATACACCACAATGGATTTGAAATGAAACGAACAAGATGTGCTTTAACTGCAGACTGTCAGCTTTAATTTGAGGGTATTTACATCCAAATCAGGTGAACGGTGTAGGAATTACAACAGTTTGCATATGTGCCTCCCGCTTGTTAAGGGACCAAAAGTAATGGGACAATTGGCTTCTCAGCTGTTCCATGGCCAGGTGTGTGTTATTCCCTCATTATGGGGAGGATAATGGATCGGAGTCTGATCCCGGCAGGATGGAATGGGGAGGATAATGGATCGGAGTCCGATCCATTATGCTCAATCCGCAGATCCGATCCATTCTGCGGGGATCGTCGGCATGCAACCTATACGGGCTCCACGAAAAGGTAACACTTGGTGACACCCCGTCCGATGATCCCCTCAGAATGGATAGAATGTGCGGATTGGAGAGCATAATGGATCGGACTCTGATCCATTATGCTCAATCCGCAGATCCGATCTATTCTGTGGGGATCATCGGAGGGCGTGTCACCAAGTGTTTCCGCACCCGGTGACACCAACCCTGGGGATGCCCCCGATATCAAGTTCACTTTCCACATTCCACACTGTCTCTTCAGTGCTTTCATTGTGTTCCAACACGCCCATCCTCTCCACGTCTCACCCCTTGGGAACTGACACCGGTTGTGTCCTCTCCTTACATGTTATTTATGACCCAAAAATATAATAAAAGGTAATAAAAACTGTGTGTCCCCTTTAAATTGAATCCCTTGGGCTCAACATTCTATTTTTCTCCACCACTGTAAGAGCCGTTAGGTCCCCTTTAAATGTGATCCTCTGTCCAGCAGGCTCCTTGTATCCTCCGCTCCTGCAGGATTATAGCATTGGAGGAAAGACATAACCTACGTAGTGCCCCGCTGTATGAGACCATCCAATCACCACTGAGTACTGGAGGTTAGTCCTCCTCCTCCATGGGACTGTATATACACGGCTCAAAAAACATGAAAGGAAGACTCTGAAAACCCATCAGACCTCAATGGGGAGGAATCTCCTGCTGGATCTCTATACTGACATGGACGGGGGATGGGTGAGGAACGTAAGGACGCCCCATCATTGGATGGAAATGAAAATGATCGACTTACAGAGGACTGAATTCAAAGACACCCCGAAAATCAAAGTGAAGAAATGATGGAGCAGGCGAGTCCATGTTGGTGAAATGTCATTGCAGCAACTCAGAATGGTCCCCAGTAGTCTGTGTGGCCCCCACGTGTTTGTATGCATGCCTGACAACGTCGGGGGAGGGTCCTAATGAGACCACGGATGGTGTCCTGGGGGATTTCCTCCCAGATCTGGACCAGGGCATCACTGAGCTCCTGGGCAGTCTGAGGTGCAACATGATGGCATTGGATGGACCGAAACATGACATCCCAGAGGGGTTCTATTGGGTTTAGGTCAGGTGAGCGTGGGGGCCATTCAATGGTATCAATTCCTTCATCCTCCAGGAACTGCCTGCATACTCTCCCCACATGAGGCCGGGCATTGTACCAGGAGGAACCCAGGACCCACTGCACCAGGAGGAACCCGGGACCCACCGCACCAGGAGGAACCCGGGACCCACCGCACCAGGAGGAACCCGGGACCCACCGCACCAGGAGGAACCCAGGACCCACCGCACCAAGAGGAACCCAGGACCCCCACCGCACCAGGAGGAACCCAAGACCCACCGCACCAGGAGGAACCCAAGACCCACCGCACCAGGAGGAACCCAAGACCCACCGCACCAGGAGGAACCCAAGACCCACCGCACCAGGAGGAACCCAAGACCCACCGCACCAGGAGGAACCCAAGACCCACCGCACCAGGAGGAACCCAAGACCCACCGCACCAGGAGGAACCCAGGACCCCCTGCACCAGGAGGAACCCAAGACCCACTGCACCAGGAGGAACCCAAGACCCACTGCACCAGGAGGAACCCAAGACCCACTGCACCAGGAGGAACCCAAGACCCACTGCACCAGGAGGAACCCAAGACCCACTGCACCAGGAGGAACCCAAGACCCACTGCACCAGGAGGAACCCAAGACCCACTGCACCAGGAGGAACCCAAGACCCACTGCACCAGGAGGAACCCAAGACCCACTGCACCAGGAGGAACCCAGGACCCCCTGCACCAGGAGGAACCCAGGACCCACTGCACCAAGAGGAACCCAGGACCCACTGCACCAGGAGGAACCTAAGACCCACTGCACCAGGAGGAACCCAGGACCCACTGCACCAGGAGGAACCCAAGACCCACTGCACCAGGAGGAACCCAGGACCCACTGCACCAGGAGGAACCCAAGACCCACTGCACCAGGAGGAACCCAGGACCCACTGCACCAGGAGGAACCCAAGACCCACTGCACCAGGAGGAACCCAAGACCCACTGCACCAGGAGGAACCCAAGACTCACTTCACCAGGAGGAACCCAGGACCCACTGCACCAGGAGGAATCCAAGACCCACTGCACCAGGAGGAACCCAGGACCCACTGCACCAGGAGGAACCCAGGACCCTCTGCACCAGGAGGAACCCAAGACCCACGGCACCAGGAGGAACCCAAGACCCACTGCACCAGGAGGAACCCAGGACCCCACTGCACCAGGAGGAACCCAGGACCCCACTGCACCAGGAGGAACCCAGGACCCACTGCACCAGGAGGAACCCAAGACCCACAGCACCAGGAGGAACCCAGGACCCACTGCACCAGTGTAGGGTCTGACAATGGGTCCAAGAATTTCATCCCGATACCTAATGGCAGTCAGGATGCCATTGTCTAGCCCAGCATTTCTCAACCAGGGTGCTGCGGCACCCCAGAGTCCTCAGGGGTGCCGCAGGAAAATTGCCACAAATTCCCCAATCCATGCCAAATAGATTGTTCTCGCCACCAGTACTGTATTTTCTTTAGAGGTGTGCCGGAAGCTCTGCAGGCAACCCGCCCGCGTCCTGCCAACTGATGATGTCATCACAGCCCATGTGGCTTTCTGGGAGTACGTGTGGCTATCGGTCTGCCCTATCTGCAGTGGTGGGCAGCGCTCTTCTGTTGGCAGCTGAGGTGGTACACGCTGGCGTGTGAGAGGGCTGAGAAGACACGGAGAAGGAGAACACACTGATATGTGCTGCGTATGAGCTGAGGGAGGTACATACTATCTGTGATAGCAGCAGACGTGATGATTGCAAATGTGGTGATTGGTGTTCATGTAATCAAGTCCAGATATATATATATATACACGCACATACATACACACACATGTAATTGCAGTCTCTGACATACATACAGTTGCAAGAAAAAGTATGTGAACCCCTTGGGATAACGTGGAGTTTTGCATGAATTGGGCATAAAATGTGCTCTGAACGTCATCTAAGTCACAACAATAGAAGAACACAGTCTGCTGAACATAATACTACACAAACATTAGATGTTGCCATGGTTTAATTGCAAATAAAATGTAAACATTCAGAGTGCAGGGAGGAAAAAGTATGTGAACCTTTGGACTTAATAACTGGTTGACCCTCCTTTGGCAGCAATAACCTCAACCAAACGTTTCCTGTAGTTGCAGATCAGACCTGCACAACGATCTGGAGTCATTTTGGACCACTCCTCTTCACAAAACTGTTTCAGTGTAGCAATATTCTTGGGATGTCTGGTGTGAATCGCTCTCTTAAGGTCATGCCACAGCATTTCAATCGGGTTGAGGTCAGGACTCTGACTGGGCCACTCCAGAAGACGTATTCTGTGCTGTTGCAGCCATTGTTTTGTTGAATTACTTGTATGCTTTGGGTCATTGTCCTGTTGCATCACCCATCCTCTGCGGAGCTTCAGTTGGCGGACAGATGGTCGTACGTTTTCCTGCAAAATGTCTTGATAAACTCTGGAATTTATTTTCCCATCAATGACAACAATCCGTCCAGGCCCTGAGGCAACAAAGCAGCCCCAAACCATGATGCTCCCTCCGCCATGTTTCACAGTGGGGATGAGGTTTTGATGTTGGTGTGCTGTGCCTTTTTTTCTCCACACATAGTGTTGTGTGTTCTTCCCAAACAACTCAATCTTGGTTTCATCTGTCCACAGTATATTCTGCCAGTAGTGCTGTGGAACATCCAGGTGTTTTTTTGCAAACTTCAAACGTGCTGCAATCTTCTTTTTGGCCAGCAATGGCTTCCTCCGTGGTGTCCTCCCATGTACTCCATTCTTGTTTAATGTTTTCCTTATTGTAGATGTGTCAACAAAAATGTTAGCATGTGCCAGAGATTTCTGTAGGTCTTTAGCTGACACTCTGGGATTCTTCTTTACCTCATGCAGCATTCTGCGCTGTGCTCTTGCAGTCATTTTTACAGGATGACCGCGCCTAGGGAGAGTAGCAACAGTGCTAAACTTTCTCCATTTGTAGACAGTCTGTCTTACCGTGGACACATGAACATCAAGGCTTTTGGAGATACTTTTGTAACCCTTTCCAGCTTCATGCAAGTCAACAATTCTTGATCGTAGGTCTTCTGAGAGCTCTTTTCTGCGAGGCTTGGTTCACATCAGACAGTGCTTCTTGAAACCAGTAAACCCAAAACAAGGTGTGTGTTTTTTAAGGGCAGGACAGCTGTCAGCAACACATCCAATATCATCACACTGATTGGAGTCAAGGTTGGCTCACTCCTGGCTCCCAGTAGCTCTGGGAGAAGTCATTAAGCTAGGGCTTCACATACTTTTTCCTCCCTGCACTGTGAATGTTTACATGTTATGTGCAATTAAACCATGGCAACATCTAATGTTTGTGTAGTATTATGTTCAGCAGACTGTGTTCTTCTATTGTTGTGACTTAGATGACGTTCAGAGCACATTTTATGCCCAATTCATGCAAAACTCCACATAATCCCAAGGGGTTCACATACTTTTTTCTTGCAACTGTACATGCACACATTATATATAATTTTTGTTTTCTTGTTAGGAGAGATTTCACTTTATGTTTCTCTTCTCTAGTTGTATATTGTGTTGGTGTCCTATGAGGCCTATAAAGGTCCCAGAGAAGCGGGGGTACCCGTGAAACGCGTTGACGTCACATCGATCATATCAGACTTACAGCGGGGGATGGGATGCCGAGACGTTGTGACATCTTTTGTAATAAAGTTGGTTTTATCTTTTCACTTGTGTCCGTGTTCTATTAGAGGCATGAACATACAACGTCCCCATACAAGAAATGTTCTTTGTATTCGACACCCCCATACCGTACACCCAGCGCCTGACACCTCCATACCGTACACCCAGCGCCTGACACCCTCATACCGTACACCCAGCGCCTGACACCCCCATACCGTACACCCAGCGCCTGCCTGACACCTCCATACCGTACACCCAGCGCCTGACACCTCCATACCGTACACCCAGCGCCTGACACCCTCATACCGTACACCCAGCGCCTGACACCTCCATACCGTACACCCAGCGCCTGACACCCTCATACCGTACACCCAGCGCCTGACACCTCCATACCGTACACCCAGCGCCTGACACCCTCATACCGTACACCCAGCGCCTGACACCTCCATACCGTACACCCAGCGCCTGACACCTCCATACCGTACACCCAGCGCCTGACACCTCCATACCGTACACCCAGCGCCTGACACCTCCATACCGTACACCCAGCGCCTGACACCTACATACCGTACACCCAGCGCCTGACACCTCCATACCGTACACCCAGCGCCTGACACCTCCATACCGTACACCCAGCGCCTGACACCTCCATACCGTACACCCAGCACCTGACACCCCCATACCGTACACCCAGCGCCTGACAACTCCATACCATACACCCAGCACCTGACACCTCCATACCGTACACCCAGCACCTGACACCTCCATACCATACACCCAGCGCCTGACACCTCCATACCATACACCCAGCACCTGACACCTCCATACCGCACACCCAGCGCCTGACACCCCTATACCGTACACCCAGCGCCTGACAACTCCATACCATACACCCAGCGCCTGACACCCTCATACCGTACACCCAGCGTCTGACCTGACACCTCCATACAATACACCCAGCGCCTGACACCCTCATACATACACCCTGTGCCTGACACCCTCATACCGTACACTGAGCCCGACACCCCCATACCATACACAAAGCGCCTGAAACCCTTGTACTGTACACTCAGACCGACACCCTCATACCATACACCCAGTGCCTGACACCCCATACCATACACCCAGTGCCTGACACCCCATACCATACACCCAGTGCCTGACACCCCTATACCATACACCCAGTGCCTGACAACTCCATACCGTACACCCAGTGCCTGACACCCGATACCATACACCCAGTGCCTGACACCCCATACCATACACCCAGTGCCTGACACCCCATACCATACACCCAGTGCCTGACACCCCATACCATACACCCAGTGCCTGACACCCCTATACCATACACCCAGTGCCTGACACCCGATACCATACACCCAGTGCCTGACAACTCCATACCGTACACCCAGTGCCTGACAACTCCATACCGTACACCCAGTGCCTGACAACTCCATACCGTACACCCAGCGCCTGACACCCCATACCATACATCCAGTGCCTGACACCTCCATACACCCAGTGCCTGACACCCCCATACACCCAATGACAAACATCGTAAGTGCCCGACACCTTCATAGACCCATTGCCTGGCACCCTCCTACATTCCGCACCCAGCAATGTTGGGGTTCAGGTCTTGGTGGAGTCAGTGTACACAGACAGGTAGGATATGGGATAAGACTTTTATTAGGACACACACAGAGGAGTTGCACTTTATCTCTCACACCCGGTTCCTGTTGGGGTGCGATTCGTTAGAAGGGGGGAGGGGAGGTCTCAGGATAAAATCCCGCGTCACATTCCTTACAAAAACATGGCGGACAAGTCGTGACTTCTGAACGATTCACCGTCCAATGAGGAACAAGAAATCCTTCACACACACAGTGCGAATTCATCAACACACAAAGCTTTGCCTCCGCCGTGTGCGGAACGCGTCAGTCCGGGTCGTGGCACCACGACTCGTATAGGAAGGTCACAGTTCATTGTTTGTTTCATTTATTTCTGGAGGAATCATCCCACCCGGGGACTCGTCAGAGGGACGGCCGACCTATAGGAAGACAGACGCAGCGTCATTGGAGAGAGGCGCTATACTACCCTGCCATCCTTCCTCACAGCCCGCCAATCACTGCTGGGAGCTTGTATTCAGAGGGATATCAAACAGCCTCATGGAGCTCCCTAACCATCTCTTGTAATAGGTCTGCAGTCTCTGACCGTCTCCTGTACTATGTCCGCAGTCTCTGGTCATCTCCTGTACTGTGTCCGCAGTCTCTGACCGTCTCCTGTACTATGTCCGCAGTCTCTGGTCGTCTCCTGTACTGTGTCCGCAGTCTCTGGTCGTCTCCTGTACTATGTCCGCAGTCTCTGGTCATCTCCTGTACTGTGTCCGCAGTCTCTGACCATCTCCTGTACTGTGTCCGCAGTCTCTGGTCATCTCCTGTACTGTGTCTGCAGTCTCTGACCGTCTCCTGTATCATGTCTGCAGTCTCTGACCATCTCATGTAGTATGTCTGCAGTCTCTGACCATCTCCTGTACTATGTCTGCAGTCTCCGAACATCTCTTGTAATAGGTCTGCAGTCTCTGGTCATCTTCTGTAATAGGTCTGCAGTCTCTGACCATCTCCTGTACTATGTCCGCAGTCTCTGGTCATCTCCTGTACTATGTCTGCAGTCTCTGACCATCTTCTGTACTATGTCTGCAGTCTCTGACCATCTTCTGTACTATGTCTGTAGTCTCTGACCATCTCATGTAGTATGTCTGCAGTCTCTGACCGTCTCCTGTACTATGTCTGCAGTCTCTGACCATCTTCTGTAATAGGTCTGCAGTCTCTGACCATCTTCTGTAATAGGTCTGCAGTCTCTGACCATCTCCTGTACTATGTCTGCAGTCTCTTACCATCTCCTGTAATAGGTCTGCAGTCTCTGACCATCTCCTGTACTATGTCTGCAGTCTCTTACCATCTCCTGTAATAGGTCTGCAGTCTCTGACCATCTTCTGTACTATGTCTGCAGTCTCTTACCATCTCCTGTAATAGGTCTGCAGTCTCTGACCATCTCCTGTACTATGTCTGCAGTCTCTGACCATCTCCTGTACTATGTCTGCAGTCTCTGACCATCTCCTGTACTATGTCTGCAGTCTCTAACCGTCTCCTGTACTGTGTCTGCAGTCTCTGACCGTCTCCTGTACTATGTCTGCAGTCTCTAACCGTCTCCTGTACTGTGTCTGCAGTCTCTGACCCTCTCCTGTACTATGTCTGCAGTCTCTGACCCTCTCCTGTACTATGTCTGCAGTCTCTGACCCTCTCCTGTACTATGTCTGCAGTCTCTGACCATCTCCTGTACTATGTCTGCAGTCTCTGACCATCTCCTGTACTATGTCTGCAGTCTCTGACCATCTCCTGTACTATGTCTGCAGTCTCTGACCATCTCCTGTACTATGTCTGCAGTCTCTGACCATCTCCTGTACTATGTCTGCAGTCTCTAACCGTCTCCTGTACTATGTCTGCAGTCTCTGACCATCTCCTGTACTATGTCCGCAGTCTCTAACCGTCTCCTGTACTGTGTCTGCAGTCTCTGACCATCTCCTGTACTATGTCTGCAGTCTCTGACCATCTCCTGTACTATGTCTGCAGTCTCTGACCCTCTCCTGTACTATGCAGTCTCTGGTCATCTCCTGTACTATGTCTGCAGTCTCTGGTCATCTCCTGTACTATGTCTGCAGTCTCTGACCGTCTCCTGTATCATGTCTGCAGTCTCTGACCGTCTTCTGTAGTATGTCCGCAGTCTCTGGTCATCTCCTGTACTATGTCTGCAGTCTTTGACCATCTCCTGTACTATGTCTGCAGTCTCTGGTCATCTCCTGTACTATGTCCGCAGTCTCTGACCATCTCCTGTACTATGTCTGCAGTCTTTGACCATCTCCTGTACTATGTCTGCAGTCTCTGACCATCTCCTGTACTGTGTCTGCAGTCTCTGACCCTCTCTTGTACTGTGTCTGCAGTCTCTGGTCATCTCCTGTACTGTGTCCGCAGTCTCTGGTCATCTCCTGTACTATGTCTGCAGTCTCTGGTCATCTCCTGTACTATGTCTGCAGTCTCTGACCATCTCCTGCGATAGGTCTGCAGACTCTGACCATCTCCTGTGATAGGTCTGCAGTCTCTGACCATCTCCTGTGATAGGTCTGCAGTCTCTGACCATCTCCTATAATATGTCTGCAGTCTCTGACAGTTGGCTGTATTGTTACATATACTGATGATTATGTGCACCCCACAGTCAGGCTACTTCTGTTCTACAGGCTCCTTATACGACATCACATTTCATTAGCAGAATGTTCAGAGTTCTGGTTTCATATTAAACACATTCTGCAAGTTGAGGGATACTTCCTGAGCCTGTACAGCCATAGATCAATAAAGCACGGCGGTTGTACAGTGCACAGCGTTGTAGATAGATGGCGCTATTTTCTGAGGATTCCCCATACCTGATGCTAACAGCCCAGCCCGCTGACGGTTCCGATCCGTTCCAGCTTCATCCCAAAACATCCGCGGGAGTTTCCCGATTTCTTTGTGCGCCCTCGAAACTTCTTCTGGTTGTTCATGAAGTCGCTGAAAAGGCGGAGCCAGGCGCGGTTTGTGGGAAGCTGGGAGGAGTCTTGAGGCACGGCTGTGTCCCGGGGGCGGGGCCCAGAGATGGATGCCCCCAAATCTTCCAGACTCTCCATGAGTAGGACCTCCTCCGAGGAACTCAGGTCCTGGGATAAAAGATCAGCTAAAGACTGCGGAGGGGGAAGAGAGAGAACATTAGATATAATCCAGCTCTTCTTCTCACATTCTGTCTTTCCTTCTCTCCCTTCTTCACACATTTCTGTATATACTCCACCCCTTCTTAGCAGGTTTCCTATTATTTGTAATATCATTACCTCCTATGATCATTAGCCCCACCTAGTGACCACAATGCAGTACTTTCCTGAAATATCCCAATCTGTAAAATACCACATCCTTGCTGGTGGGGGGATAGCTAGGTCTGCTGGATAGGAAGAGTTCACTCCTTGTTGATGGGGGTATGGTTGGGTCCTCTGGACAGCAAGGAGGCGTTGATTCCTCCTTGTTGATGGGGGTATGGTTGGGTCCTCTGACAGCAAGGAGGCGTTGATTCCTCCTTGTTGATGGGGGTATGGTTGGGTCCTCTGGACAGAAAGGAGGCGTTGATTCCTCCTTGTTGATGGGGGTATGGTTGGGTCCTCTGGACAGCAAGGAGGCGTTGATTCCTCCTTGTTGATGGGGGTATGGTTGGGTCCTCTGACAGCAAGGAGGCGTTGATTCCTCCTTGTTGATGGGGGTATGGTTGGGTCCTCTGGACAGCAAGGAGGCGTTGATTCCTCCTTGTTGATGGGGGTATGGTTGGGTCCTCTGGACAGCAAGGAGGCGTTGATTCCTCCTTGTTGATGGGGGTATGGTTGGGTCCTCTGGACAGCAAGGAGGCGTTGATTCCTCCTTGTTGATGGGGGTATGGTTGGGTCCTCTGGACAGCAAGGAGGCGTTGATTCCTCCTTGTTGATGGGGGTATGGTTGGGTCCTCTGACAGCAAGGAGGCGTTGATTCCTCCTTGTTGATGGGGGTATGGTTGGGTCCTCTGACAGCAAGGAGGCGTTGATTCCTCCTTGTTGATGGGGGTATGGTTGGGTCCTCTGGACAGCAAGGAGGCGTTGATTCCTCCTTGTTGATGGGGGTATGGTTGGGTCCTCTGGACAGCAAGGAGGCGTTGATTCCTCCTTGTTGATGGGGGTATGGTTGGGTCCTCTGGACAGAAGGGAGGAGTTCACTCCTCTTTACTGGTGTGGGATCGGTTGGATCTGCTGGAAAGCAAGGACGACTTCACTCCTCCTTGCTGTTGGGGGATTGGTTGGGTCCATTGGACAGTAAGAAGGAAGTCATTCATCCTTGCTGGTGGGGGATATGCTTGGGTCCACTGGACAGCAAGGAGAAATTCACTCCTCTTTGCTGATGGGAGAATCGGGTAGATCTTGTGGACAGCAAGGTGGCGTTCACTCCTTGTTGGTGGGGGATTGGTTGGGTCTATTGAACAACAAGGAGGAATTCTCTCCTCCTTGCTGGTTGGGGGATCGGTTGGGTTAATTGGACAGCAAGGAGGAATTCACCTCTCCTTGCTTGTGGGGGATTCAGTTGGATCTGCTGGAAAGCAAGGAGGACTTCAGTCCTCCTTGCTGGTGGTGGATTTGGTTGGGTTCACTGGGCAATAAGGAGGAATTCACACCTCTTTGCTCGGGGGGTAAGGTTGGGTCCAATGGAAAGCAAGGAGGAAGTCACTCCTCCTTGCTGGTGGGGGTACGGATGGGTTAATTGGACAGCAAGGAGGAATTCACCTCTCCTTGCTGGTGGGAGAATCAGTTAGGTCTGCTGGACAGAAAGGTGGCGTTCACTCCTTGTTGGTGGGGGATCGGGTGGGTCCATTGGACAAAGAGGAATTCACTCCTTGTTGGTGGGGGATTCAGTTGGGTCTGCTGGAAAGCAAGGAGGACATCACTCCTCCTTGTTGGTGGGGGATTTGGTTGGGTCCATTGGACAACAAAGAGGAATATACTTCTCCTTGCTGGTGGGGGTATCAGTTGGGTCTGCTGGAAAGAAAGGACTTTCCTCCACCTTGCTGGGGGGGGGGGGGGGGTACAGTTGGGTCCACTGGACAGCAAAGAGGAGTTCACTCCTTGCTAGTGGGGGATCGGCTGGGTGGACATATGGTTGGTTCCACTGGACAGCAAGGAATAGTTCATTCCTCCTTGTTGGTGGGGGGATAAGTTGGGTCCACTGGATAGAAGGGAGGAGTTTACACTCACACCTCTTTGCTAGTAAAGTAAAGTATCAGTTGGGTCTGCTGGACAGCAAGTAAGACTTCATTCCTCTTTGCTGATGGGGGGGGGATTGGTTTGGTCTGCTGGACAGCAAGGTGGAGTTCAATCTTTCTTGCTGGTGGGGGTACGGTCGGGTCTGCTGGACAGCAAAGAGGACTTCACTCTTTGCTGATGTGGGGGGGGATCAGTTGGGTCTACTGGACAGCAAGTAGGACTTCATTCCTCTTTTCTGATGGGGGGATCGGTTTGGTCTGCTGGACAGCAAGGTGGAGTTCAATCTTTCTTGCTGGTGGGGATACGGTTGGGTCTGCTGGACAGCAAAGAGGACTTCACTCTTTGCTGATGGGGGGATCAGTTGGGTCTACTGGAGCTCACTCCTTGCTGATGGGGGGATTGTTTTGGTCGGCTGGACAGAATTGTTAGCTTCCATGCTTCTCCTGATCCACACCATACAAAGGGGGGGGGGGGGGGTGTTCTCTGCCCATCTTTTTGTAAACGTGTATTATCAATGGACTGTTTGGACACCCAGCCCCCCAAAGCTTGAGCTTTTCAGACAATTTTTGAATGAGGTTTTGTTTTAGGCAACTGAAAGCTAGAAGCGGCAAAAAATGTGCAAAACTGTACACTTTGACCAATGTCAGGCTTTTTCCAGGAGACCAAAAACGTGAAGTTCCGAGCCTTGGTGTGAATGGGCACCACTGAGCGTCAATGTGCTTCAGAACGTTCTGGTGTGAATGGGGTCCCGGTGAGACAACTGACCGACTCCTTTGGGTTCCTCATTGGCTCCAGCGGTCCAGGACCCCTCCTTGTGTCCCCTAGTACTTTTCTATGAATGGGAAAAGGGCTCGGCTTCAAAAATATCCCCCCCCCCCGGCCACCCCTCCACATCTCCTGATCAAGCAGATATTTAGATCGCGGAAAGGTGCGGAATATCGCCCCCCACCGCACTGAACGGAAAGAACCTTTGTGTGCCGGAGTGCAGAGATACGGGAACGTTCTGATCAGAAGGTATAGATCAGGGGTGTCAAACTGGCGGCCAGCCAGCTGCTGCGAAACTACAAGTCCCATCATGCCTCTGCCTTTGGGAGTCATGCTTGTAACTGTCATCCTTGCAATGCCTCATGGGACTTGTAGTTTGGCAACAGCTGGAGGGGCCGCCAGTTTGACACCCGTGGTATAGAGGGTATCGTCGTCATGGTTGCTCCTTGTCCTGTCTATGGACCTAGAGGACGACTTTTCATCTGCGTTTATATCGGATTTCTTTTATTGTTGTTTATATTATATTTTTGTAAAATGTAAAGAATTGTTCGCGTTGCTGTATGACCTCCAGAAAATATCCGTCCTGCGCCTGAGGAGGAGACACCGCGGAAACCCGACACAGCGCCAGACGACAGCGGCCTGCAGTCTCCACCAGGTCCTAATAATAAAAGAAAATATAAAACCCCCGACAAGTCGAAGGGATCGATCGTGAGCCCCCCAAATCATCGGCGGGTTTGTATTTCTGATTGCCCGCGCTGTTATTACAAATCTGATCTCAGCAGACTGGGGGCCGCCATCATCTGCTGTGCCGGCCATCTTTGCTATAAAGTGTATCAGTGCGATTTCTGAAGACTCTGCGACTTTTCAACGATTTCCTGCAATTTGCAGAGCGATTTCCATTCTGTTCTATGTATGTGAAATCGCAACCAAACTGCAGAAAAAGTCGCGCCAGAACGACTTTAGAAATGGCGCCGCAGCAAATCGCACGTGTGAAGACGCGGTCACCCCCGGTCACCCCCATCCCAACTTACAGCGAAGTCGCACCATTTCAAGGTCGGGTGACGCGCCGATTTCAGGTGCGATTTGCAGGACGTCTGACACGGATGTCTGTGGAAATCGATACAAAAGTCGTGCGGGTACTACTATAGAAATTGGTGCGGATCCGAACCACGCCGAGATGACCGGACAATAGGGTGCGACTTGCCCTGCGATCTACACATCACCCGATATCTCACCTTCACTGTGCACAATCTCAGCACTAATACCCGGATCCGGATCCCTGACTATAGAATACATTGTATATAAATCGAATACATCGTGTGTCCTACATGGACATGATTTTATCTCAGCACTAATACCCGGATCCGGATCCCTGACTACAGAATACATTGTATATAAATCGAATACATCGTGTGTCCTACATGGACATGATTTTATCTCAGCACTAATACCCGGATCCCTATCTCTGACTACAGAATACATTGTATATAAATCGAATACAACGTGTGCCCTACAGTGACATGATTTGATCTCAGAATTAATAATCGGATCCCTGACTATAGAATACATTGTATATAAATCGAATACATCGTGTGTCCTACAGTGACATGATTTTATCTCAGAATTAATAATCGGATCCCTATCTCCAACTACAGAATACATTGTATATAAATAGAATACAACGTGTGCCCTACAGTGACATGATTTTATCTCAGAATTAATAATCGGATCCATATCTCTGACTATAGAATACATTGTATATAAATCGAATACGTGTGCCCTACAGTGACATGATTTTATCTCAGTATTAATACCCCGATCCCTGACTATAGAATACATTGTATATAAATAGAATACATCGTGTGCCCTACAGTGACATAATTTTATTTCAGCATTAATAATTGGATCCATATCTCCGACTATATAATACATTGTATATAAATTGAATACATTGTGTGCCCTACAGTGACATGATTTTATCTCAGTATTAATACCCAGATCCCTATCTCTGACTATAGAATACAATGTATATAAATCGAATACATGTGCCCTACAGTGACATGATTTTATCTCAGCACTAATACCCGGATCCCTATCTCTGACTATAGAATACAATGTATATAAATCGAATACATCATGTGCCCTACAGTGACATGATTTTATTTCAGCACTAATACTTGGATCCGTATCTCCGACTATAGAATACAATGTATATAAATCGAAGATCACGTGTGCCCTGCATTGACATGATTTTATCTCAGCACTAATACTTGGATCCGTATCTCCGACTATAGAATACAATGTATATAAATCGAATACATCGTGTGCCCTACAGTGACATGATTTTATCTCAGCACTAATATCCGTATCCGTATCTCCGACTATAGAATACATTGTATATAAATAGAATACATCGTGTGCCCTACAGTGACATGATTTTATCTCAGCATTAATAATTGGATCCGTATCTATGACTATAGAATACATTGTATATACATTGAATACAGCGTCTGTCCCACCTACACATTATACAATCTCAGCAATAAGAACCGAATCCTTACTTCAGACCCATGGAATCCGGGAAAGATACAATGTATAACAAATCCAATACATCAGCCTCACCTTTGCATTATTTTATCTCAGCATTCCTAGCTGTATCCATATTTTGGAGTCATGATATGTGAAGTGTAACCCAGAAAAGATACAATGTAACTATAATACCACGTCTGCCTCACCTTTATATTATTTTATCTCAGCATTAACAACTGGATCCAGTTTTGAGAATCATGATATGAGAAGTGTAAGAAAAGATACAATGTATAATAAATCAAGTCTGCCTCACCTTTATATTATTTTATCTCAGCAATGGAAGACGTCTGCCTTATCTTTAAAATTTCCTATCTCAGCAATGGAATATGTCTGCCTCACCTTCATATTTTTTTTATCTCAGGAACAGAAGACATCTGCGTCATCTTGATATTAATTTATCTCAGCAACAGAAGACGTCTGCCTCACCTTTATATTATTTTATCTCAGCACTCCTACCTGCATGAATATTTTGGACTCGTGATACGAGACGTGTAACCCAGAACGGATACCACGTATCATAAACAGAACACAATGTCAGCCTCACCTTTACATGATTTTATCTCAGCAGTCCTAACTGTATCCATTCCCCTATACAATACACAGTATAATACATGGAATATGACGTCTGCCCCACCTTTGTATGATTTTATCTCAGCACTCCTAGCTGTACCCCCATCTCATCATACAAAGTATAATACACAGAGTACTCCGTCAGTCTCACCTTCAGATGTTTGAGTTGCGGGGACGGCCGTCCAGACACCCCGACCAGCAGTAGAGTCACCAGGGTCAGTGCCGACACTCCCACCATCATTTTTGGGGATGGTTTTGTAGATTGGGGGGGAGGGGGTTGTAGTTTTTGGGGGTTTGGTCACCCTAATATTCTCAGCAGGGTCAGTCGGGGTGATAAGGTTCGGATTTGGGGGTTTCGGTGGCCCTCTAGTCTCAGCAGGGTCAGTCGGGGTGATAGGGTTCAGATTTGGGGGTTTCGGTGGCCCTCTAGTCTCAGCAGGGTCAGTCGGGGTGATAAGGTTCAGATTTGGGGGTTTCGGTGGCCCTCTAGTCTCAGCAGGGTCAGTCGGGGTGATAGTGTTCAGATTTGGGGGTCTCGGTGGCCCTCTAGTCTCAGCAGGGTCAGTCGGGGTGATAGGGTTCAGATTTGGGGGTCTCGGTGGCCCTCTAGTCTCAGCAGGGTCAGTCGGGGTGATAGGGTTCAGATTTGGGGGTTTCGGTGGCCCTCTAGTCTCAGCAGGGTCAGTCTCAGGTATGAAGTTGCGCGCGGGTTCAGGATTTGCTCGGGTTCAGGATTTCTGTGTCTGTCCTGATTCCAGGACTGGTCAGTTGTGAGTGGTGCCGGCTTTGCGGGTATATATAAAGGAGGACGGGGAGAGGGGGGCTGTTTTATTATAGATGGAGGGGGGAGGGTTACCCCGGGAGACCCCCTCATCTTATTGCAAGAATGTCACCCCTCCCCCCAGACACCGGAGGGCTGTATAATGGTACAGGAGCAGATATACATCCATCTACAGGACACTGTATACAGTGCAGGGTCAGTGCCTCTGTATACACAGATCAGGGTGTCAGTGTCCTCTGTATACACAGATCAGGGTGTCAGTGTCCCCTGTATACACAGATCAGGGTGTCGGTGTCCCCTGTATACACAGATCAGGGTGTCGGTGTCCCCTGTATACACAGATCAGGGTGTCAGTGTCCTCTGTATACACAGATCAGGGTGTCAGTGTCCCCTGTATACACAGATCAGGGTGTCGGTGTCCCCTGTATACACAGATCAGGGTGTCGGTGTCCCCTGTATACACAGATCAGGGTGTCAGTGTCCTCTGTATACACAGATCGGGGTGTCAGTGTCCCCTGTATACACAGATCGGGGTGTCAGTGTCCCCTGTATACACAGATCGGGGTGTCGGTGTCCCCTGTATACACAGATCGGGGTGTCGGTGTCCCCTGTATACACAGATCGGGGTGTCAGTGTCCCCTGTATACACAGATCAGGGTGTCAGTGTCCCCTGTATACACAGATCGGGGTGTCAGTGTCCCCTGTATACACAGATCGGGGTGTCAGTGTCCCCTGTATACACAGATCGGGGTGTCGGTGTCCCCTGTATACACAGATCGGGGGTGTCGGTGTCCCCTGTATACACAGATCGGGGTGTCGGTGTCCCCTGTATACACAGATCAGGGTGTCAGTGTCCCCTGTACAGGAGTGCGGTGTGTCAGTAGACAGTGACGCGGGGGTCTATTTCGGTCCCCTCCTCCCACACGGCCCCCCTCCCCTCCCCCCATTATCTCAGATCTCTCATTAATTAATGAGGATAATCCCCGATAATCCCTCTATAGATCACCGCGGAGACAGCGAGCGGGGGAGGGGGGCGGGGATTATTGTCTGTACACCGGGGACGTCTGACCAATGCCGAGCCTAAAGGGGGACTCCACTCAACACCGAACATAAAGGGGGACTCCACTCAACACCGAACCTAAAGGGGGACTCCACTCAACACCGAACATAAAGGGGGACTCCACTCAACACCGAACATAAAGGGGGACTCCACTCAACACCGAACATAAAGGGGGACTCCACTCAACACCGAACCTAAAGGGGGACTCCACTCAACACCGAACATAAAGGGGGACTCCACTCAACACCGAACATAAAGGGGGACTCCACTCAACACCGAGCCTAAAGGGGGACTCCACTCAACACCGAGCCTAAAGGGGGACTCCACTCAACACTGAACATAAAGGGGGACTCCACTCAACACCGAACCTAAAGGGGGACTCCACTCAACACCGAACCTAAAGGGGGACTCCACTCAACACCGAACATAAAGGGGGACTCCACTCAACACTGAACATAAAGGGGGACTCCACTCAACACCGAACCTAAAGGGGGACTCCACTCAACACCGAACCTAAAGGGGGACTCCACTCAACACCGAACCTAAAGGGGGACTCCACTCAACACTGAACATAAAGGGGGACTCCACTCAACACCGAGCCTAAAGGGGGACTCCACTCAACACCGAGCCTAAAGGGGGACTCCACTCAACACCGAACCTAAAGGGGGACTCCACTCAACACCGAACCTAAAGGGGGACTCCACTCAACACCGAACATAAAGGGGGACTCCACTCAACACTGAACATAAAGGGGGACTCCACTCAACACCGAACCTAAAGGGGGACTCCACTCAACACCGAACCTAAAGGGGGACTCCACTCAACACCGAACCTAAAGGGGGACTCCACTCAACACCGAATATAAAGGGGGACTCCACTCAACACTGAGCCTAAAGGGGGGCTCCACTCAACACCGAATATAAAGGGGGACTCCACTCAACTCCGAACATAAAGGGGGACTCCACTCAACACCGAATATAAAGGGGGAATCCACTCAACACCGAACATAAAGGGGGACTCCACTCAACACCGAACATAAAGGGGGACTCCACTCAACTCCGAGCATAAAGGGGGACTCCACTCAACTCCGAACATAAAAGGGGGACTCCACTCAACACCGAACCTAAAGGGGGACTCCACTCAACACCGAGCCTAAAGGGGGACTCCACTCAACACCGAGCCTAAAGGGGGACTCCACTCAACACCGAGCCTAAAGGGGGACTCCACTCAACACCGAGCCTAAAGGGGGACTCCACTCAACACCAAGCCTAAAGGGGGACTCCAGTCAACAGTGAACCTAAAGGGGGACTACAGTCAACGCCAAAACTAAAGGGGAACTCTGACTACGTCCTGGAACCAGTGCGGGAACGTCTGACCAATGCCGAGCCTATAGGGGAACTCTGCCTGGAACCAGTACAGATCATCTTCTGGAGGAATCCTAGGATGGGATTGGATGTGATGTGAGCTCTCACAGACAGATTTCATTCTCATCAGAGAAGATCGGGTACCTGGATTCAATGCGTGGCCAGATCTGGGGATCGGTTATACCGGAGACTGACAACTGCTACGAAGCCTTCCATGAGCAGATGATCATACACTATACAATCCGGATCGGATCTGATACATGTTAACAGATTTAGATGTCTCCTCCCGTTACATAGTTCAGGTATATCGTCAGAAGATTGTACAATGTAACGGGAGACATCTAGACCATCTATTAGGTCTGCACTCACTATATCCGCTCTCCCCGGACCCCGCACTCACTATATCCGCTCTCCCCGGACCCCGCATTCACTATATCCTCCTCTCTCCCCGGACCCCGCATTCACTATATCCGCTCTCCCCGGACCCCGCATTCACTATATCCGCTCTCCCCAGACCCCGCATTCACTATATCCGCTCTCCCCGGACCCCGCATTCACTATATCCGCTCTCCCCGGACCCCGCATTCAGTATATCCGCTCTCCCCGGACCCCGCATTCACTATATCCGCTCTCCCCGGACCCCGCATTCACTATATCCGCTCTCCCCGGACCCCGCATTCACTAGATCCGCTCTCCCTGGACCCTGCATTCACTAGATCCGCTCTCCCTGGACCCCGCATTCACTATATCCGCTCTCCCCGGACCCCGCATTCACTATATCCGCTCCCCCCGGACCCCGCATTCACTTTACAGCGGAGTTCCACCTGAAAAAAATTAAATAAATAAAAGTCAGCAACTACAAAACTATAGCTGCTGACTTTCAGAATACAGACACTTGCCTGCCCCTCGGTCCGGCAGTGTCCTCACCACCACTGGTTTCACCGGCTGTCTTCTCTCCCTGGTGCCGGCATCTTTAGTGTGGGCACCCTGTTGTGACGGCTTGCAGCTTCACAGCCGGGTGCTCACTGCGCATGCGCGAGAAGCGCTGCGATTTGTGAATGGTCGATCACATGTCGCACAAGACTACAGGGAGGGAGGGGGGAGGACAACTTCCGCTTTCAATCGCCTAGGCGATCACAGTGGAAGTGGGAGTGGATACCTGTCAAATTTGGGTACCCCCTCCCCCCGCTCTCCAAAGGTGACAATCCTTAATGGGGAGCAGGGGACCTTTTAGGAGGAGCTCCGCTTTAAGGAGATTGCACAATCGGACTGTGCATAGTGTATGGTCACCTGAAAGGAGATTGTAAAGTTTATAATCATCTTAAAAGAGGTTGTACAATCAGATTGCACAGTGTGAGGCCAGCCTACTTTACATGAGCAGCCAAGGGATAGTAAAAATAGGTGGATGAGCTGCAGTTTTGACCCCCTCCCCCATCCCCGCCATTTCACAGTGTACCGCATACAGCGTTTGCCATCCAGTGAAAAGGCCGCGCTGTCACTGATTGCCATCCCGGCGTCTGCCGCACGGTGCTTTTGCCTTCCAAAGGGTTAAAAACAGGCAGCATATTGCCGCTGCGGATCACTTTTCAGAGGGGTGGACGTGGCGCTCCCCATTGGCAAGCTAAGCTCTGTATGAAAGGGGCGGAGCCATATATTGTTACAACAAGGTATTTTTTTTTTTTTTTAAAAAACTTTATTGAAATGGCAGAAAACGACATGAATTAGGAAAAGTCGCTCAACGCATAGTGAGTGTGAATGAGCCCCAAAGCAGCGGGGTGAGGTAGGTGGGCACTGGAGGTGAATTGGTGACTTTGGAGACAGATTTGTCCTGGGGAAGGGGAGGGAGAGTGGGGGTGTCACTCTCCGCAGGGGGTGTGGGGGGGGGGGGGGGGGGGCCCATTCACAGGCCTATTACAGTAAACGCAGTGAAAGGTAATGGGAGTTAAATAGCCGTCTCCATTCTTCGGCCCCCACGTCAACTGTGACGCTCAACTCAGGAATGTGCTGTGAATAAAACCGGCCAGACAAAAGGGCCCCGGCATCTCCCAGCGGCCCCCTGGCCTTTATGGGGACAATGGGGGGCGGTCAGGCCTTTGTCCGCTCTTCAATGTAAACGTTTCAGGTGATGGATGACAGCACACAATGCAGACCCCCGCCTCTGACGTCATCTCAGGAGAGGTGACAATGCGGGGGCACCGGCGGCCGAGGGGTTAAATGGGAGACAGTTACATGTGTGCGTTCCTGGCAGGGTCAAAGGTTAACACCCCCCCCCCAATCCGATAATTCAGTGATGTCAGAGCACGTCCGACAGTTCTCACCAGAGAGGTCCGCTCGTCCTTCCCACCCTCCCGACCTCCACGAATCCCCCCAGTGATGGCGGCCATCCAGGATGGGGCTGGTTTGGACGCAAATGTGCGAAAACAAAATCTGCGTTTTTAACCTGGACATGGCGGGCGGTGGAGGTGTCACACATAACGCCGCAAAAAAACAGACCCCCAGATCGCGTTCAGTGGGCACTAAAGCCGACAATTAGGACCCATTTATGTGAACGGAGCCGCGCTTTAGGGTCATGTGACCGCCATGATTGGCTCTCGCGGCGATCACCCGATCGGAAAGCTCCCAACCGCAAGGAGCGATCGGGACCTTTCTGAGAAGTGCCAGTAAATGTGCCGGGGAGTGCGCTGTCAGCACAACTTACATTGGACATTGGGTTTCTCTGCACAGCATTGCAAACCCAAAGCAGCATGTCCTTCCTGACAGGAGAGAGAGCTGTGTTGTCTGTGTTTGGGGGGGATTTGTACTGTCCTGACATTTGGGGGGATTTGTACTGTCCTGACATTTGGGGGGGATTGGTACCGTCCTGACATTTGGGGGGGATTGGTACCGTCCTGACATTTGGGGGGATTTGTACAGTCCTGACATTTGGGGGGGATTGGTACCGTCCTGACATTTGGGGGGGATTGGTACCGTCCTGACATTTGGGGGGGATTGGTACCGTCCTGACATTTGGGGGGGATTTGCACTGTCCTGACATATGGGGGGTATTTGTACCGTCCTGACATTTGGGGGATTTGTACCGTCCTGATATTTGGGGGCTATTTGTACCGTCCTGACATATGGGGGGTATTTGTACCGTCCTGACATTTGGGGGGGATTTGTACCGTCCTGATATTTGGGGGGATTTGTACCGTCCTGACATATGGGGGGTATTTGTACCGTCCTGACATTTGGGGGGATTTGTACCGTCCTGACATTTTGGGGGATTTGTACCGTCCTGACATTTTGGGGGGATTTGTACCGTCCTGACATTTTGGGGGGATTTGTACCGTCCTGATATTTGGGGGTATTTGTACCCTCCTGACATTTGGGGGGGATCTGTACCGTCCTGACATTTGGGGGGGATCTGTACCATCCTGACATTTGGGGGGTATTTGTACCGTCCTGACATTTGGGGGGGATCTGTACCGTCCTGACATTTGGGGGGTATTTGTACCGTCCTGATATTTGGTGGGATTTGTACCGTCTTGACATTTGGGGGGGATTTGTACCGTCCTGACATTTGGGGGGATTTGTACCGTCCTGACATTTGGGGGGGATTTGTACCGTCCTGACATTTGGGGGAATTTTGTACTGTCCTGACATTTGGGGTGATATGTACCGTCCTGACATTTGGGGGGTGGGCAGATTTGTACCGTCCTGACATTTGGGGGGATTTGTACCGTCCTGACATTTGGGGGGGATTTGTACCGTCCTGACAATTTGGGGGGATTTGTACCGTCCTGACATTTTGGGGGAATTTGTACCGTCCTGACATTTTGGGGGGATTTGTACCGTCCTGACATTTGGGGGGGATTTGTACCGTCCTGACATTTGGGGGGGATTTATACCGTCCTGACATTTGGGGGGGATTTGTACCGTCCTGACATTTGGGGGGATTTGTACCGTCCTGACATTTGGGGGGGATTTGTACCGTCCTGACATTTGGGGGGGATTTGTACCGTCCTGACATTTGGGGGGGGATTTGTACTGTCCTGACATTTGGGTTGATATGTACTGTCCTGACATTTGGGGGGTGGGCAGATTTGTACTGTCCTGACATTTGGGGGATTTGTACTGTCCTGACATGTGGGGTGATATGTACCGTCCTGACATGTGGGGTGATATGTACCGTCCTGACATTTGGGGGGGGGGGATTTTGTACTGTCCTGACATTTTCGGGTCTGAAGAGATGAGATTGGTCAGTACATCAGGATCGATCCCATAGTTTGTGATCTCTATAACTTTCCTACAGACTAAATATTTAAACACGGATCTGAGTGATTTTCACCCAAGAATTGGAGCCGAATACATTTTGGCCTAAATTTATGAAGAAAGATTATTTATTTGCAACATTTTCTAACAGAGACAAAGAAAAATGTGTTTTTCTTTTCAAAACTTTTGGTCTTTTTAATTTATTTAGCAACAAATAACCCCCCTCCCCCCCCCATGGTGATTGAATCCCACTGAAAGAAAGCTCTGTTGTGTGAAACAAATGATAAAAATGTCATATGGGTCCAGTGTTGCATAACCGCACTGCAATTGTCATTCAAAGTGTACCGATCAGCCAAAACTTTATGCCCCCCCCACCTAATACTGAGTTGGCCCCCCCTCTTGAAGCCCCAACAACCCTGACCCAGTCTGGGCATGGACTCCGGTGCACCTCTGAAGGTAGGCTGTGGGATCTGGCACAGACATTAGCAGATCCTTTAAGTCCTGTCAATTGTGAGGTGGGACCTCCATGGATCAGACTTTGCTTTTCCAGTACATCCCACAGAAGATACGATCGATTGGTTTGAGATCGGTAAGAATTCGCGAGGCCAAGTCAACACCTAAAAGTCGTTGTTGTATTCCTCAAACAATTTTTGCAAGTGTGGCAGGGCGCATTATCCTGCTGAAAGAGGCCGCTGCCATCAGGGAAATGCCGTTGCCATGAAGGGGTGTTCTTGGTCACCAACAATATTTATAGGTATGGTGGTATGTAACATCCACTCGAATGGAGGAGCCAAGATCTCCCAGCAGAACATTGTCCAAAGCATCACTCTGCCTCCGCCGGCTTGTCTTCTTCCCATACTGCATCCTGGTGCTTTGTTCATCTCCTCCCCAGGGTTACGCTGACGCACGCCCACCCGGCCAATCACACATGATGGAAAAGAAAACATTATTTCGGACCAGGCCACCTTCTTACCATTGCTCCGTGGTCCAGTTTCTAATGCTCACTTGCCCACTGTAGGTACTTTTGGCTGAGCACAGGTCAGCATAGGTGGCCCTGATTGGTCTACGGCTACACAGCCCCCCATACACAACAATCTGCGATGCTCTGGGTGTTCTTACACCTTTCTATCACAACCAGCAATTTGAGCTCCTGTAGCTCTTCTATTGGCTTGAGTTAGCCTTCCCTCCCACCTCCATCAATGAGCCTTCCCTCCCCAACCATCCATCAATGAGCCTTCCCTCTCCACCTCCATCAATGAGCCTCCCTCACCACCTACCATCAATGAGCCTCCCCCTTGACTGGTTTCAGACATCGTCCCATCCCCTCCTCCACTTCCATCATGAGCCTCCCCCTCCCACCTCCATCAATGAGCCCTTTCCTCCCCAA